GAGCCTAGCAGGGCGCGTCGACATCACCTGCAACTATGACGTGAAGCAGTTCCTCGACCTTAACATCTCTTACGGGCCCAAAGCAATTCCCCTCTCAGCAGCCAAGTACGCAGAAGAACTTGGTAAACGCTTCAACATTGCACCTGCACCGCTCTCCACTCCTTACCGCACTCCGGGACCGAACCACAAGCCCGACAACAAAGCCATGTCCCCCGCTGGACTTCAGACTTACCAGCAGCAGCTAGGTTGCCTGCTCTTCGCCTCTGTCACCTGCAGGCCTGATCTCTCATACACCGCGAGCCAACTGGCTCAGTACTCCCGCAAACCGACGGCTGAGAATCTTCTAGATCTTCAGAGCGTTCTGCAGTTCTTCATCTCCACGCCCAATATTGGGCTCTGCTACTCCACAGTTACCACATCGTCCTTCAACCTCACCGGCTACGTGGACGCCGATCACGCCGCTGACCCGGACAATCGACAGTCCATAACTGGGTTCATGTTTTGACTCGAACCGACGGGGCCCACCTCCTGGAATTCGCAGAAGCAGGAACTGGTTGCCCTGTCATCGGCGGAAGGTGAGCTCATCGCCGTGACAGCAGCAGTTCGCGAGGGGCTTTACCTTCAGGAGCTCCTACAGGAGGCGAAAATAGCCCACTTTTCGCCTGCACTGCGGCAACCAGAGCACGATCAGGATCGCGAACAAACCTGGGTTCGTCAACCGCACCAAACGCATTGCGCTGCGGTACTTCTTCGTCAAGGACGAAGTTGACAAGGGCAAGGTTGACTTGACCTACTGCCCGACGGGTCACATGGCAGCCGACTTCCTCACGAAGCGAGTGTCACGTCAGCAGTACCAGCACTGCTCCGAACTCAGCGAGGTAGTCAAGCGGGTCAAGACCTGCTACGGTCAGGAGTGAAGGGGGGTGTTACGAACAGTAAATTAAGAAAGAACACGAGCAGCAATCGAATCATGCAGTACCGAGGCTGAAGACGAAGAGGCGGAATGACGCGAAGGGTCGCGCACGGTTACGGAGCATATGGACCGTCAGGGCAGACAGCATCAGGCAGCAGCAGTGGCGAGGATTCTACCCAAGCAGTTAGTAACCGTCTGGAGTCGCACGGTTGGATTTCGCTGCAATAAGGGAATGTACCCCTTAGAGTACATGGCTAGCCTAGGTCGATTCGTATTACCCTGTACTCTTTTTTGAATTCGCGCGAACATTTGAGCACAAGTTAACATTTACTTGTCATGTACCTGTCCGCCCTAAATATGGTGCTCAAAGTGCCGAAAATTCTTGCTCACTGACTTAGGTGTGCCGCCTAGCTCTGCCCGGGTCATGTTCGCTAATAACAGGGCCATGATCCTCCTGTGTCAGGAGCCCAGACTATAGGGGCAGAACGAAGCACATCCAGCTGCAGTACTTCCTGTTGCGTGAGCTGCAGCGGTGCAGCCAGGCACGCGTAATAAACTTGGCCACGGGGGCTAACATCGCTAATATTTTCATTAAGCAGCTCTGCACACACCTTTGCCTTGTCCCAGAAGTGCCTCACTTGTTAGGATCTTGATCTCTCTACACTGTACTGGGTTTTATTTTGTTTAGTTATACTGAACAATTGGCCTTGTGGCCCTTTGTCTCAGAGGCCCGGCCTGAGTTGTACCTCATACACTGTTGTTCTTGCTGACTGGCCTTGTGGCCCCTTGCCTCAGAGGCTGGACTAGTAGTGCTGCCCTGATTTGTTTCTCATTTTCTAGGCACTGCCTCTTGTCAGAAAGTGATCTCAACAGAATGACTAACAGAATGGCATTGAGGGGTTCATACCCAGACCGAGTGCTTGGCCTGGGCCGCAGCATGGGCCTCTTGTGCTGCTGTGGAGGCGTCATCAGCAAGAGCAGAGGGGCGTGGCGGGGCAGACAGCTCACCCGACACGTGGGCTTACAGGTACATATCGTCCTGGCGCTGTCTCTGCAGGTACAGCTGAACGTCACTCAGCCACACGTCAAAATCGATCGCCCGGCCCTTGGAATCAAAGGGCTGTACAAACTCAGAAGTCATAGAGGATGCCATAGGAAACAGTGATGCAGCTATAGGCAAAGGCACGGTAGAGATGGCGCTAGGAACAGTCGCCAGGAACAGCACTAGAAACGGCGTCTTAAACGGGCAGGAGCGGCTAGGCACTGGCGGCAGTGGCGGCTCGGGCAGCTATGACGGCTAGGGCGGCCTGGGAGGCTAGGGCAACTCGGGCAGTACGGGCGGCTCAGGCGGCTAGGAACTGGTGACGGCGCGTTCTCCTGGCACTGCTGGCGCGCTAGTGTGGCGGCCGCTGCTGGCCAGTGCACGCGAGCGAGGGCACAGGCAGCGGCAGCGCAAAAGGCGGCGTGGTGGCGCGGGCAGCGGGGGCGTGAGCCACAGCGCAACGGCGTGGGCAGCGGCGCGCGGGGGCAGTGCGTGCGGCTGCGCGTGCGGCTGTGCGTGCGGCCGCGCGTGCGGCTGTGCGTGCTGCTGCGTGTGCGGTTGTGGTTGGGTGAGCAGCTGCGCGGGCGACAGGGCGCGGGTGCGAGCGGCAGCGCGATCATTATTGCGGGCGTGAGCGGCGTTGAGAGCGCAGGCGGGAGCGCGGGCGGCAGTTCGGACGCGGGCTCGAGCGCGAGCCGCGGCAGGGCGCGGGCGGCTGCGCGAGTGGCAGCGCTGGCGGTAGGGTGGGCGATTGCGCTGGCGGCTGCGCGAGCGCGGGCTACAGCGAGGGAGCGGCCGCCTGCGCAGGCGTCAATGCGGGCGGCAGCGTGAGCGCGCGCGCGCAGGTGCAAGCTACAACGCGAATGGCAGTGCCTAGGCACAGGCGGGAGGGGACGGTACCAAGGGCTTGGTGGGGAAATAAGGCATGGACTAGGGTAGGCTAGGGTGGAGCAAAGCGGAAGCGCAGGTCCTAACCTTACTGATACCAAGCATACATGGTTCACATCAACAATGTTGTAATCACTAAATAGTACCATAATCTAAACAACCTATCCTAACAAGATTTATGCAAATATAGTTTGATACCTCCTACCTAGCCTAGGGGGTGTGTCAACATACACATGTACAATTGCATGTGTACTTTGTAGGCTATGTTGGGTTGTACTAAAGAGGACATGGGATGTTAGATATACACCATTTGTATGTCCTCATCACCAATCGATTCCGTTTCTAACAGGCTTCTTCTCGCATCCGAGCGATTTCATTGCCTCCAAGAAGCTACCTTGAAAACACAATGGAAGCTCTTTTTGCGCTGGTTAAAAAAGGCCCAAGATGCCTTACAGATGGAGACTGCAACCAGCCATTCAACCTGAGATAATAGATTGGGGAAAGATGCGGTACAAGATCAGATCAAAGCGAGTTAATGACCATGAACTGTATGCAGACTGGTGTTCTTATTACCAAAAGAATATGATGATGTGAAGAGCTGGTGACGCGCGGGCACGTGTCATCGCTTCACACCACATACATGAGTACATGATATGCTTGCATCTACACTAGTACATGATGACTACATGATCCTTTTGCGTCTAAACTAAATACATGATGACTACATACGGTAATATGCATGCAACAAAATGTATGACTACATTACATGCTTGCATGTACACTAAATGTATGACTACATAATATGCTTGCCTGTACACCAAATGCATGACTACATGATATGCTTGCCTGTACACCAAATGCATGACTACATGATATGCAAGTGCGTTCAAGGGGCTTCTCTTATGAAGCCTGGAATTGACCCGGTTGGGGGGGGGGATTCTCCTCGTCCTCTTTGTAGCATGACCCCACACCCGAAACGAATACGGATTATAGTCAAGACAAAGACCAAGCATGAGCGAGCATGGTAACCATGTCATTGCGGAGTCCTCTGCTCCCTACACTGCATGTCCTTAGTGCAGTCAAGCACGAGAAGCTCAACGTCGCTAGATTTGTGAGCAGTCGGAATGGGCAAGGGCGCCATTTCTAAATCAGCATTCCCTTGAACGAGGACCCCAGACTTGGCAATGTCGTCTGCCATCAAGAAAAGGTCATCCAAGCATGCATCTGGAGCCGGCACATGCATGCATGAGTCCATCGAACAGCCGCTCATGCTCCCCATAGTTATGCCCATGCTGTCAACCCTATTCAGTTGGCATGTGTCGTGCTTGCACTGCCACCATCCTGGAAGCTAGACTAAGCGCTCGTGCCTGCGGTGCTGAGTGCACAGGTTATACCCCCAGGATCTGTTCTCAAGGGCCCTACGCTTGCACGCAAGCCATGCAGAGTTGTGTGGCCTGTGGGAAGTCCGGGTATGTGAGTGCGGCTGCCACTGTAGCTACCAGCGCTGCCCTAAAATTCGCAGTATGAACAGCTCGCTGCATTAGCTGATCCAGCTGCTGCGTCTGCTGCTTTTCTGATTGCAGATGATGATGCTGCCCTGGCTGCTGCTGCTGCTGCTGCTGCTGCTCGGATTGAAGAGATTGCAGCTGGGAAACAGCAGGTGGGAGTATTTCAGCAAAAGAGCTGCATCCAGTGTGGCACAACCTGTGATTGGTTGGACAGCCCATGCATCACAATCCGGCCATCACATGCCCACCAACATTAAATGAGCATTCCCTTGAATCAGCACCCCGGACCTCCTCCGAGCATGGCAGCAGGGTCATGGGGAAGCCCTCTGTTCCCATCGCAACACTTCCTCACGCGCCTCCAACGCCATGTCACGGGGAAGCCCTCTGCATCCTATTCACCGCGTCCTCCGAGCAGTCAAACACGACAAGATCAGCGTCGCTGGCTTTGTGTGCAGACGGCACGGGCACCATTGCCGAATCAGCATTTCCTTGAATCAGCACCCCGGACTTGGCAATGTCGTCTGCCATCAAGAAAAGGTCATCCAAGCATGCATCTGGAGCCGGCACATGCATGCATGAGTCCATGGAGCTGTAACTCATGCTTCCCATGGTCATACCCAGGCTGTCAGTCCTATTCAGTTGGCAACTCATGCTCCCAACAGGTATACCCAAACTGTCAACCCTACTCAGCTGAAGCGTGCCGATGTGACTACCCCCATCCTGGAAGCTAGACTGCACGCTTGTGCTAGCGCTCGTGCGTGCACCAGTGTCCCTAAACCCTATACCCTCAGGTTCTTCTCTCGAGGGTCCTGTACTTGCACGCACGCCATGCAGAGTTGTGTGGCCTGTGGGAAGCCCGGGTATGTGAGTGCGGCTGCCAGTATAACTACCTGTGCTGCCCCCAGAATCTGCCATAAAAACAGCTCGCTGAATTAGGTGTTCAAGCTGCTGCTTGTGTTGCTGCTGCTGCTCCAACTGCTGCTGCAGCTGCTGCTGCTCCGGCAGCTGCTGCGGCTGCTGCTCCAGAAGTGGCTGCAGCTGCTGCGCCGCCTGCTGCCATGGCTGATGGGACTGCTGGTGGTGTGGCACTATGTGCTCAAGCTGCTCTGGCTCACGATGCTGCTGCTGCTGCTGCTGCTGCTGCTGCCCTGGCTGAAGGTACTGCTGCTGCTGCTGCTCCTGGTTCTGCTGATGCTGCTCCTGCTGCTGCCCCTGCTGCTGCTGCTGCTGCTGCTGCTGCTGCTGCTGCTGCTGCTGCTGCTGCTGCTGCTGTTGCTGCTGCTGCTGCTGCTGCTGCTGCTGCTGCTGCTGCTGCTGCTGCTGCTGCTGCGGCTGCTGCTGCTGCTGCTGTTGCTGCTGCTGGTGGTGGTCCAGCATACCATGCTGCTTCTGCTATTGATGCTGCTGATGCATCTGCTGCAGATGCTGCTGGTCCAGGATAAGATGCTGTAAATGATCCAGAGAAAGATGCTGATTCTGCAATGGCTGTTGCTGCTGCTGCTGCTGGTCCAGCATACCATGCTGCTGCTGCTGCTGCGGCTCAGACTGAAGAGATTGCAGCTGGGAAGCAAGCAAGTTAGAGTATTTAAGCAAAAGAGCTGCATCCGCTGTAGCACAATCCATGATGGGCGGGACAGCCCAGGCATCACATGTCTCCCAGGGAACTATACCACATGCAGCCATGGCAAGAGCGTCAGCTGGATCCACCAACGGGAGTAACTCCTCAAGACCAGGGGCACACGGACTTATGGGGGGGATGGTTACACCAGTGGTGGTTATGCCAGTGGTGGTTATGCCAGGGGTGGTTATGCCAGTGGCGGTTACACCAGTGTTGGTTATGCCAGTGGCGGTTACACTAGTGTTGGTTATGCCAGTGGCGGTTATGCCAGTGGTGGTTATGCCAGTGGCGGTTATGCCAGTGGTGGTTATGCCAGTGGTGGTTATGCCAGTGGTGGTTATGCCAGTGGTTATACCAGGGGTGGTTATGCCAGTGGTTATACCAGGGGTGGTTATGCCAGTGGTTATGCCAGGGGTGGTTATGCCAGGGATGGTTAGACCAGGGGTGGTTATGCCAGGGGTGGTTATGCCAGGGGTGGTTATGCCAGGGGTGGTTATGCCAGTGGTGGTTATGCCAGTGGTGGTTATGCCAGGGGTGGTTATGCCAGTGGTTATGCTAGGGGTGGTTATGCCAGTGGTGGTTATGCCAGTGGTTATGCTAGGGGTGGTTATGCCAGGGGTGGTTATGCCAGTGGTTATGCTAGGGGTGGTTATGCCAGTGGTGGTTATGCCGGTGGTTATGCTAGGGGTGGTTATGCCAGTGGTGGTTATGCCAGTGGTTATGCCAGTGGTTATGCTAGGGGTGGTTATGCCAGTGGTGGTTATGCCAGTGGTTATGCCAGTGGTTATGCTAGGGGTGGTTATGCCAGTGGTGGTTATGCCAGTGGTTATGCCAGTGGTTATGCTAGGGGTGGTTATGCCAGGGGTGGCTATGCCAAGGGTGGGTGCAGCCTCCTGGAAAATAATTTGCTCTGTGCAGAAGAGAAATGGGGGTGCTAGTTGCTGCTGCTGCTGCTGCTGCGTTTCTATCTGAGTATGATGGTGCTGATGCTGCTGTTTCTGTTTCTTCTTCTGATGCTGCTGCCACTGCGTCTCCTGCTGCGGCTGTGTCTGCTGCTGCGTCTGCCTTTGCTCCTGCTGAGGCGGCTGCTGCGTCCTCTGCTGTGAGTGTGTCTGCTGCTGCATCTGCCTCTGCTCCTGCTGCGGCTTCTGTTGCTGCTGCGGCTGAACGCTGCTGCTGCTGCTTCTGCTGCTCTGGCTCATGGTGCTGCTGCTGCTGCTGCTGCTGCTACTGCTGCTGCTGCAGACAGTGTTGCTGCTGATGATATTGGCATTGCTGGAGCTGTTGCTGATATGGCTGTTGCTGCTGGTGCTGTTTCTGATATGGCTGTTGCTGCTGGTGCTGTTTCTGATATGGCTGTTGCTGCTGGTGCTGTTGCTGATGTGGCTGTAACTGCTGCTGCCACTGCTTCGGCCCGGGCTGCGGCTGGTGGCCCTGCAGACGCTGCTGCTGCTGCTGATGCTGCTGCTGCTGCTGCTGCTGCTGCTGCTGCTGCTGCTGCTGCTGCTGCTGCTGCTCATCCAGCTGGCGATGCCCGTGCTCCTGCGGTGTGATGGATCTGTCTGTATGATTCGTTTGCTGCTCACCCCCTGTTATGGCTGCGGCATCAAAAGGCATGGGACGTGCCTGCGCTGTTTGAGTGTACACAAAGTTGTCAGTTTGAATAAATTAAGGTTGAGGAGGGTTTGGTGCATCACAGGGCACACGGGAGCAGAGAGCGGGATCAAGCAACGGAGGGAAAGGGGATGCAGGAGGAGGCGTGGTAGTTCGAGAAGGGGGGCAGGAGAATGAAACATTATTAAAGGGTGAAGTTGGAGCGTTGAAGGAATGACCAAAAGAATCTGATAAAGGAGAAGCTACATCCTTGAGAAGTGAGGGTGGATAGCTGGCTACGGTCGACACGTTAACTGTAGCGGGAGGATGGCTCACAGAAGGAGTGAAGGTGGTAGCAGGAGGGGAGATTGAGGTAAGAGTGCGAGTGCAGGGTGTAGCAGGAGCAAAAATGGAAGCTGGGGCGCAGAATGTAGCAGGAGCGGAAAAAACAATAGGAGTGCAGGTTGTAGTGGGCGTGGAATATGTAGGAGGAGCGGAGGTTTTTGTGGGGGCAGGAAAAACAGTAGGAGCGGGAAGTGTAGTGGGAGCAGAAAGCGTAGCAGGAGCGAAGGCTGTAGTAGTAGCGCAATTTGTGGTGGGAGCGGAAAAAGTAGCAGGAACGCAGGCTGGAGTGGAAGCAGAAATAGTCGCAAGAGCGCAGGTTGTACTGGGAGAAAAGGATGCAGGAGCAGAGTCTGTATTGGGGACAAAGGATGCAAGAGGAGAGGCTGGAGTAATGCGGGAAAAGGATGCAGTAGCAGAGGTGGGGTGGGAAAATGCAGTAGCAGATGTTATAGTGGGAGCAAAGGACGCAGGAGCAGAGGATGTAGTGGGAGCAAAGGATGCAGGAGCGAAGGCTGTGGTGGGAGGAAAGGATTCCGGAGCAGGCCAAGCTGAAACAGGGGGGCGTGAAGCAGCACTGCTAGGAGGACCCTGAGTAACCGGAGCGAGGGTTGTAGCGGGGTACCAGGTTACTACAGCAGCAGGGCCGGAGGAAGAAACACCAACCAAGCTCGTTCTAGAAGCATCGGGAAGCGGCGGCGGGTGGTTATGCGAGCCGTGGTATACCGTCCTCACTACGACACGCATCTCAGTCCGTGGCATCTCCACACTGTCAGTCTCCTCGCTGCCTTCCGGGCTACCCGGCACAGCATCCGCAGTGGAATCCGATCCTCTTGTAGCAGAAGCACCGCCGCCTCTGAATGCGGCTTTTGAACCGGCTGAGCCTTGGTGTCCTGGCGCGGCGAGGGTGTTGGAGCGGCGATGCCGGGCCTCTCCGGCCACGCGGTCTTCGATCTTCTTTGCCGTGCAGCCTGTCGCTTGCTTGGACGCGCACACAAAGTACAGCCTGCGAGGCGTCGGTGAGAAATAGCAGCAGCAGCTTTGTTAGCACCATGATTGCCCATTTTAACAGTCCCAAACCTGACTTGCAAACCTCCAAAAAGGAGGGTTTTGGGACAGAATTTCACAGACCCTCAGAAGACTTTCAGGGTAGATCTAACACAATAATCTTTATATCAAGCAGCTTTTATTTTCCGGAAAATTTGCGCAGTGAGTATGCAAGAAATATCATGGTGGACAATAGTAAGCTTGCCTTTTTACTGCGAAGGTAACGACAGCGACATCACGGTGTAGCATGAAACCTCAACTTGTTCGGAAAGGATGGCAAGCAGATTAACCTCACCTTTTCATTTGTAGGCCCACAATCCGCTTGTGTGATGTCTTTTTCCATTTGTACTCTTCAGGTGGCAAGTGTTGCACCTGATTTGTCGTGCGATGCGTCTGAAACGGTGTCTGCGGCGCACTCGGCGTGTGTTGCGCCATTTCAGTCAAGGCCATCATTGCTGATGGTAACTCAGCATTAGCATCATGCTGATTCTGAATATGATGTGTCTTTGAACTTGATCCTGAAGCTGAAACCCTAAGGGTAGCAGGCTGGGGCCACCGCGGCATCGGCATCATATGGCCGTGCTGATGTTGTTGTTGTTGCTGTTGCTGATGATGCTGGTGCTGCGGCTGATGCTGCTGCTGCTGCTGTCGCGCTTGCATCTCTTGTTGGCCGCTTACAGGGACAGTTGCCGCCGGCGGATCATGCTCCACAATTGTGGCTCGCTGATCTGTCGAACTCATGCTCTGATCCGTCTCAGAGGATTCCAAAACAAGAGTCGTGTTTAGTCTGGCTGAAATCGACTCCATTCTACAGCCTGCCAGATCCGGAGTGTGTGTTTGAACGCCACTGAGCATGAGCAAGTTCTATAAAAACGAGTGCTGATACTACTGCTACTACTTTTGTAGTACTAGTCGAAGTGGCTGTGAAAGTAAGTACGTGGAGCACATTATCGGAAACGTTTGCGTCCACAAATGTGTCGCCGCCGTTGCTTTTGGTCCAGTGACATGTTGTGGAGCGGCAGCAGGGTGCCAGGCATAACTGGGTGGATGTGGTTAGTTAGGCGTATGGAGGAAGGGAGGGGAGGGGGTTGGGTTGATGTGGTGGGGAGGGGTGTGGGTGGGTCACACGGGATAACTCTCGTCGCAAACCAGCAAAGCAAAATTCACATGTCAGTGGAGTTGAGGAGGGGCATGTGTTCTTTCAGATCCGAATTGAGCCGATGGTCTTGGTGCTGTTTGAAAAAAGATGCATGCTGGGGAAGACGAGGGCGGTCGGGGGAAGGGGGTTTAGGGTCGCGTTAGAATTGTCAACTGATCAATTGAAACGCGTGAAACGTTTCTACGTGTCACTGTTCTTCAAGAACAAAATGTTGCTGTCCTAGATCAAAACTCGAGGCGCACAAGAGGCTCATCTCACGTTCTCTCATCAAATGTCAGACAGAAGCAGGCCTGTCGATTGACGGGCATATGCCCTTAATGCCCTGAACATTAAGGGCTAGTTTCGCTCCAGCTCCAATGCGTCAAGTTTTTGTTTCGCACCCCACCCGTGCCACTAAGTGCTTCATTCGACCCTTGCCCGGATGCGTTAAGGGACGAAACCAGGCCTTCCCCTTTATCTAAGTTTTGGTTTCAGATCGTAGGACCCCCCCCCCCCCCCCCCCTCCCCCCCCTCTTTCTCCTTAGCCTGCACTAGAGCGCGCCAAGGGGGTTTTGTCCCTTAGCGTTTTGTAGCCAATCCCGTGTGTGTAGCGTGTCTCTCAGTCAGCCTAGGAGCACCCGCACATTCCCTTAGCGTCCAATACGAGCTGGCCGCAGTGTACAGCTGTGACACATGGGATTATCTTGGGTAAATCTGGCTAAGTTGTTTGGCCACAGAGACATCTAAGACACTAAACCACAGCACGTCAAAGGAACTGAAGCACTCCAGCGCAGCAGCTCCCTCCCTCACCACCTTCGTTCGTGCGAGCCACGATTCCTCTCCACCACCATGCAATCCATCCACCACCACATCCCACCCATGTTTTCTCTTCCGCACCGTCCCACCACCTCCACGGTATCATCCACCCAAGCCCTCAGCTCTCCCCTCCCCTCTCGTACGTGCCATGCTATGGCACTTCTCCTCCACCCAACCACTCTGCCGAGTAAACCTCGCGTCGCCTAGCTCACGCACGCGATGTTTATAGTATGGGTAGCTAACCCGTTCGCTTCGTCAGCCACATTCTCCCACAATGGATCCTAGCGAGGGTGAAACCCCTCCTCCAGTTTTGCCCATGTCGAACGTTAGTCATTCTCATACTACGACCGAGACCGAGCCTTACGTACCCTCGGATGCTGAAGACATGCTAGACGTAGCAATCTCAGTGTTGGACCCGCGCCTCGCCCAGCAAGCATCATCGTCACAGACTACACCTCTGTCAGCAGCCCGCTACCGTCAGGTTCACCTTAGCTTCGCAAGTCCGCCACCAGATTCGCGAAAGCGCGCACGAAGCGTACCGCCTGAAACCTGCAAAAGCCGAGATCGAGCTCCACGAGGACATCATCGACCCTGAAAACCCGGGGGGGGGGATGCGACTTGGAGGCCTGCGTGGACCTGGCGCGGCGTTTCGCTCAGCGCCTGATTAAGGCGCTGGGGAAGAGGATGGCGGACCTGCGCCATTTCGATGGTGTTGGGTTTTTCACCCCTGATAAGTATCCCTTCCGTGCAGGAGAGCAGGACACATGGCTGCAGCACCATCTCACCGAGCTCCTGGACATGTTCAAGAACCAGCTACCTGGTAAGCCTAGATTAGTATGAAAGGAACCCACGTATGTTCTAACTTTGTACGTATTATGCTCACACAATGACGTAATCTAACTTTGTATATGTCCTTGGCAGGAGTCGCTCTTGCTGATATAGAGCCGCAGATGCGCCTCTTCACAGCCACCATGGAGAAGAAGTTCAAGAAGCAGAGCTTCCATCAGGCTCTCACCAACATGCTGCGCACTGCAGACTGGAAGGATGACTATCCCACCATAGTCTCTCTCTGGCGTGCGGTCTCTGTGTTGCCCCTCAGCACTGTTGAGTGTGAGAGGGGCTTCTCCCGCCAAAACATTATTAAGTCGTGGGATCGTGTTGCTCTTACTGATGTTAGGCTGGGGGAGCTGATGACGGTGAAGATGCTAGACTACCCGGTGGACTGGGCAGCGGCCTATGCCTTGTTTGAGGATAAGGGGAGGAAGGGGAGGAAGCCTGCCAACTAGGCTCGCATTGGATGTCGGGTTAGAGTAGAGTAGCTGAGCTCTGCATGCCATATCTGTAGTTAGTGTAGAGAATAAGAACTTTGCAGGCTAGGTAGGTTTTATGACTATTTAAGACATGTGTAGTGTTAGGTGTCTTTGACTTCTAATTTAAGTACATAACAGCACTTATCATAGTAAAATGAAGTGTAAGTGCAAACTTCAAACATGCCCTGATTTCAAGTTCTGACTTTGGGGTGCGCCCGTGACCCTTAAGGGCGCCAAAACGCTCACCTACCCCCAACCAAGGGTCAGATTGGGAGGAGCTGGGGAGCGCAAGTACGAGCCCCAGGAACTTCGACAGGCCTGGACAGAAGAGCTGGCGTTCACAGGAAGTTCCCCCACCCGAAGTTCCCCCATAAGTCCCAAAAGTGCAGATATTCGGGTCCAGCGTGGCAGTTTTGCAGCTGACCACTCCCACTCCACGTGCCATGCGAATTATCGTCGTCGACTTCAAGATCGTTCTGAACAAATTTTCGTGTAGCAACCCGCTTCACAAATACAGTCCTCGCCAACTTCACTAGGGCCAATTTCACCCCCCTGTGTAAATATTTCTCGTTTACCCGATATCGAAGCGTGTTCTCGAAGATATTCGTTTTAAAGAGGGTGCGATTCAGACTTCTCAGACGAGTTATAGCTGAACAAAAGCGGATCTCAATAAAATCATTGGTCGATGCGCTGCGGTCCCAGTACAGGAGTTTTTTTAACATCTCGACACTTGATTGAGTCATTCATAGCCTTCAAATTTTGGGAGTTCATTGGTCGACAAAATCGGGTTCGGGGTGCTTCCCGAAAGGAGTTGCAGGGCGTGAAATTGGTGAGGACTAGGTGCACTGTTGTTGAGCGAACTTCGAGTTGGGGGAACTTGCTGTGAACACCATCCTAGTCGTTTCGTTTTGTTGTTTTCAACCAACAGCACGTGTTCTTGTGATGCACACGAAATAATTGATTTCCTGTGTACAGTACTTTTTTGTCTGGGGTATTTGTTTTATGGAATACACAGAATAAAGGTAATGTATTTCGGCAAGAAAATGCTTCGATCCACACTTTAAGACAGGGCGTGTCCCAAGTGTTCTAACAAGCACAATACCCACCCCACCAGTCTAGATAGATAATTGACCGTTGTAAAAAGTGAAGCAGTTTTATTGAGCCGGATTCGGACGAATCTTGCGCGGGGCATTCCATGTGAGCAAATGGAATCTTGCTAGTGCCCTCTCCACTTTATGCCAATTTCAGCCCCCGTTTGTTTCCTGGGTTGTAGCTCCAAAGTCCTGAAGTACTTTATGGGCACTATTCTATAGGGTAGCTGGGTGACCTGATGACGGAACTTGGGGTAAATTTGGTTGCCAGTGCTGTCACTCTTGTTTGTGGGGCCGCCGCAACCAGTCTGCGCAACGAAAAGTGCTTGTCAAGCGTACACTTTATGCAAGCATAGCGTAAGACGAACAATAGTTACATAATCACTAGGAGCACTTTCTGACGGTCAAGGTTAAAGGCACGCATTATACTTTGACCGTAAAAAATGCTACTCATGTCTCTCATTCATAAGACTTAGAGATACAACTCTACATCAGTAACATCGGCAATTTTACAGAAGGCCCTAACTCATTTTTTAATTTTCAATCTCCTTGACGATGATGTTATAAATGGCGATGTCTATACATCGGATTTAGAAACAGTACCCACTCACATGAGCCGGCATTTTTGTCCCAAAAACGTTTGCATTCCTCTTCTCGTGTTAGCCATATTTAATTCTCTTATGAATTGTCTGATTAATACTCGTTCTAGAATGAACAAAGGAAATCTGGAAAAGGATATAAAATGCCTAAATATTTGACGATTATGTGTATTAAAGATTTTAAAAGCTGGAGACCAGGTGGTAACCCGCTATATTACCACGTTCCCTGGATTTTCGTCCAGCTGTCTGTATGCGAGTGAGAAGCGGTTTCCTTTCCAGAAAACAAAAACGAAAAGGAAATAAAGTGTATTTTCATGCTGAATTGCAGCAGCGGCTGTCAGAATCTAGTAACCGCAGAGGCGGATTCTGGTTGGATACAGTTACCGAAAAAAAGCCAAGCTGACAAAGTGGTACTTGCTGAGAGTCGCGCCGCTTGTCGGACTCGAAAGTCGAGGGGTTCACCTCGACAAAACCGTACTGTACATTTCTGGATAAGCCTAGGCCCATCATCGCGTAAATTTTCATCGGAAATTTGGAAGTCAAGGGCTGACTTTACAGTAAAAACATAACCATACTTTTTTATAATACTACACCCATTATAGCTCTAAAATGTTGGATTCATTATTATCGATCTTTGAGAGCTGGACAACGGCCAGCCTAGCCCAAATCTAGTCTCCCCTGGTGGTAAAACCCAGTCACCACCCAAGTCGCCACAAGTGACAATCCGTGCGAGCAGTGTAAGGCGTGCATGTACTAGAATTTTGGTCGTTGCAATCATAGCACACCCATACTAAATTTTGGCCGCATGATTGACCACTATCGCTACATTCACGATATCATGCATCCTCCTTAGGGTGCTGCACCCATGCTGCACCTGCCTAGTTGGTGGGTGGACGTTGGAACCTCATTGACATTGTAAGCTGGACCCTCGGTCACAACTGCGAGTGCCACTACTGTAGCAGCGGCGAGTGACAAACCCTTTGTCAAGAAGCCTAGTGGAACCGCATCGAACCCCGGCTAGCCTGGAAACTTTATCAATCCTCCTTTTGAGTCCTCAGAAGTCAGTCACCCTGTACCAAGTCCGACTCATTGCTTCACAGTGGCCAAGCACAACACAGACGCACACTCATCCTGCAAATGCGGTTCACGTGAGCATCAAGCCGCTCATCCCAGGGCCCCATCCCGTCCTCCTTTGGAGGTTGACTCAACTCAGCTGTCACCATTTCCCAAGGCAGGCTCATTGCTTCACGGTGGCAAAGCACAGGGCAGCAGACGCCCTCTCCTGCATGCGGTTTCAAGAGCGCATCGAGGCGCTCATCCCAGGGCTCCATGCCCGTGCTCCATTCGAGTAGCCCCAACTCAACTGTCGCCTTTAATCTGAACAGACTCATTGCTTCACAGCGGCCAAGCACAGGGCAGCAGAGGCCCGCTCCTGCATGCGGTTCAAGAGTGCATCGAGGCGCTCATCCCAGGGCTCCATGCCCGTGCTCCACCACTGCTGCCGCTTCCACCGCCACTCCATCATGCTGAAGGAAGGAGAACAAAGCGGTGCAAAGCGGTACAAGAGTCATAAGAAGCAACAGATCCAAGAGGTTAAGAGAGCGTCTAGGCGCTCAGCTCATCCCAGGGCTCCATGCCCGTGCTCCTCCACTGCTGCCGCTTCCACCGCCACTCCATCATGCTGCCGTGGGAATGACGGGAGACCAAAGGAGAAGGAAGCGGTGCAATGCGGTTCAAGAGTCAAAGTAAGCAACAAATTCACAAGATGTACTAGAGAGCTTGATAAATCAGCATCATCTACCCAGAGAACACATGCAGGCAGGTGGGCAGAGACAAGGGTAACACTGTCTTCACATCTAGGTTGCAATGAAGGCATCACTCACCGTCTCACAGCTGGCGTGTCGCCGCACCCCGTGACGACGAGCAGCAGCGTGTTGGGCGGCAGAGACTCGTGCACCTGCCCCACCTGCGCGTCCACCTTCCTGGAAGATTCCTCCACAGCAAAGTCAGCAGGATGAGCAGGTGGGGAAGAGACCTGCTCCTGCTGCTGCTGCTGCTGTGCCTGTGCCTGTGCCTGTGCCTGTGCCTGTGCCTGTGCCTGTGCCTGTGCCTGTGCCTGTGTCATTGTGGTCTCGAGAACAGGTGGTGATGATGCAGGTTTGGGAGCAAGCTCAGGTGTAGGTTTGGACGCAGGGCTGGTGGCCCGTGTGGAATCAGGTACGGAGGCAGGTTCGGAAGCAAGGGCAGCGGCGAGTCGAGGCATGGAGGCGAGGGAGGAGGAGCGGGCGGAGAGGGAGGCCATGAGGGATGGGAAGGTGGCGACTAGGAGGTTGAGAGATGGCTTGCACGCCTGTGCACGGGTGGGAGAGAGGGAAGGGGAGAGAGAGGGAAGATGGGAAGAGACGGAATTGAGGAAGAAAAAAAGGGAGAGAGGGGAAGAGAAGCGAAGCAAGAGGGAGGGAGGGAGGAGGAGAGGAGAGGAGGGATGATGGTGACGTTGCTGGAAGGGAGGGAGGAGCAGCAAAGCTACAGTCACACTTTAGAGTGACTAGAACGAGGCGTCAGTGCATTCCCGCTGCTCTCCTTCCATCCGTACCTCTCTGCTCACAACTTTCCCCAAGTCCCCGTGCCTGAGGCACAGAATCTCCGATGTGGAGTTCTTTTACGGAGCCTAAATATGCTTACCTCTCTTCTTGCAAATTCCCATGCCATACCTTTATGCTCCCAATCTCCCATTCCGCACCTCTCTGCTCGCAACTTTGCCCAGGTCCCCGTGCTCGAGGCACAGAACTTCTGACGTGCAATTCGAGTTGCCGCCCAGAAAGAGGTCCGGCCTGGCAGCTTGCGAGTGCAGCACGACGGTGCAGTGGCGCCCGGAGGAGGAGAGGCGTGTGAGAATGTTCTCCATATGGTGCAGCTTTGAGGCTCTCCGAGGCAGGCCGAAGTGCGGGCCTGCGAGGGGACGAATAGGGAGAAGATGGTTTGAGGGAGGCGTGCGAGAATGTTCTCCGTGTGGTGCATCTTTGAGGCTCTTCGAGGCAGGCCGAAATGGGGACCTGAGAGGGGCATGAAGGGTGGTGTGAGGGAGGGAGGAGATGAGCGGCAGCTGGCCTGGCAGGTGCAGCAGGACAGTGCAGTGCCGCCCGGAGGCAGAGCGGGCCTGAGGGAGGGCCTGGGGGGTGGTGGGAGAGGGAAGGAGCTAGCAGGTGCAGCACGACGGTGCAGTGCCGCCCGGAGGCAGAGAGGCGCGTGAGAATGTTCTCAATGTGGTGCATCTTTGAGGCCCTCTGAGGCAGGCCGAAGTGGGGACCTGGGAGAGGGGATGCAAGGGGGCACAAGGAAGGGGCGTGAGGGTGCAGCGGCGCCAGGAGGCAGAGAGGCGCGTGAGAATGTTTTCCGCGTGGTGCAGCTTTGAGGCCCTCCGAGGCAGACCGAAGTGCGGGCCTGAGGGAGGGGTGTGAGGGGTGATGTGATGTGAGAGGAAAGGAGGTAGCTGTGTTGGGAAGATGGCTTGAGAGAGGCGCGTGAGAATGTTCTCCGCGTGGTGCAGCTTTGAGGCTCTTCGAGGCAACCCAAAGTGCGGGCCTGAGGGAGGGGCATGAGGGGGGGACGTGAGGAAAGGGTGCGAGGGAAGAAGGTGATAAATTAGAAGGAGGAGAGGCGGGTGAGAATGTTCTCTGAGTGGTGCAGCTTTGAGGCTCTTCGAGGCAACCCAGGCCTGCGAGGGGACAAAGAGGGAGAAGATGGTTCGAGGGAGGCGTGCGAGAATGTTCTCCGTGTGGTACAGCCTGGATGCAATTCCAGCGGTAGGCTTTGTGTCCAGGCTGTACCATTGCAATCTCGCACAAAGCTCATAGCCGTATCGCACCCGCTGGATGCATTCCAGCGGGTGCGATACGGCTGTGAGCTTTGTGCGAGATTCGAGGCATCCCAAAGTGCGGGCTTCAGACATGTCTCAGTGAGCTGCGTGCGTGCAGTAGGCTTTAAGCAAAGGATAAACAGAGGTAAAATTCCGCTCTTGTGTAAAACCAAGTGCTCAGAACGATCTCAGAACCCAAATTCTTAACAGTAGAGTAAAACAGGGGCAAACATGTTTCGGCCGAGAGGGAAGGACCCTATCGAACCTTCATCAGTGCCAACAATGAGAATGTTCTCCGTGTGGTACTGCCTGGATGCAATTCGAGGCATCCCAAAGTGCGGGCTTGGGAGGGGAGGGGCATGAGGGGTGGTGTGAGAGAAAGAGGTTGGTGAATTAAGAAGAGGGCTTGAGAGAGGCGTGAGAGAATGCCCGCACGCCCTTCGAGGAAACCCGAAGCCCGGGTCTGGGAAGGGATGAGTGGGGACACAAGGAGGGGGGTTGAGAGAAGGGTGTTAGGGAGAAAGGTGGGTAAATCGGGAGGAGTAGGGAGAGGGGGTGAGAAGAGTGAAGAGTGTGGTTTACGTGAAGGTCTAAGAGCGGGTGAATGGTGTAGTTTGAAAAAGAATGGGAGGGTGAGAGGGAAGAAGGGAGGGAGGGAGGGAGAGAGGGAGGGTGAGTGGGTGGGAAGGTGGGACGTAGGGAAGTGAATTGTGGCAGTGAAATGGCTGAAAGCAGAAGACTGAAGGCACCACTACCTTTGCTTCACAATCCGCACTAGAATATTACCATGTGAAGACTGAAGGCACCATATTACCATGTTACGCTGTTCCCATTTACTCTGCTACCATGCTATGGTATTATGATAATACCTTACCACATCATGGTGTCCGATGTTATGGTGTTACCATGTTACCCTATTAACCAAACTAGGATGTTCTCATGTTACCCCAGTATCATGTTACCACGTTACCATGTTGTATCTTGAGCAGAGCAAGGTCAAGAGCAGCCCGTGCATCCTCCACACTGTCATGCCCTGCACTGTCTGAAGCCACTGTGCCCTGCTGCTCCTCTGCTTCTCCCTCTCTCGCTGCTGCTCCTCCTCCTCCTACTGCTGCTACTCCTGCTGGTGCTGTGGCGTTTTCTGCTGCTCCACCAGCTGTGCTCCCACGCACAGACTCATGCCGCACGCCGTTTGCTGCCGCTACTCCCTCACCTCCCGTTCCTCCTGCAGCTGTAGCCGCTGCTGCTGCTGCTGCTGCTGCTGCCGTCGCCAGTACCGCTGATGTTGTCGGTGCTGCTGCTGCTGTTCTCTCTACTGCTGCAGCCGTAGACAGTACTGCTACTGTACCCAGAGCTGATGCAACTGACTTTTGCGAGCCAGAAGGATTACGGCACCACGTGTTACTCCTGCGGTAACCGCCCGCAGCACCAGCAGCACCATCGCCTGCCACCGCCGCCGCCGCCGCTGCCGCAGCTGCCGGTGCAGCACCAGCAGCAGCAGCAGAAGCGGCACCGTCAACACCACCACTAGCATCACCACCCCTCCCTCTGTGAAACGACCATCCCCCTCTCATCCCCCCTCTCCGTCCCCTCCCTCCGCACCCCTCCGCCCCGCCCCTCCCCGCCCACCAGCCAGCCTGAATGGTCCGGCCAAGGTAATCCGATGCTAGGAAGCGCAGAGCGCACTTGAAAGGGGGCCCGCGGGGGTGGGGGAAGAGCAGCGATGTGTCGATCACGCGCAGATGGACGGCCCGGATCGTGTGCAGATCGCTCTCTGTGGAATGGCCCACCAGGATGGTCTCTGCGCTCACTATGGCGAGGAAATGCTCCTGATGGGGAGTGGGGGTTGGGGGGAGGGTGGGTGGGTGTTGAGTGCAGGTCGCTCTCTGCGGAGTGGCCCACCAGGATGGTCTCTGCGCTCACTATGTCGAGGAAATGCTCCTGATCGTGGGGGGGAAGAGAGGTTGGAAAGGGGCAGAAGTGGGGAAGGGGGGAGTGCAGAAGGGCAGAAGTGGGGAAGGGGGGAGTGGAGTTGGGGAGGAACCAGAAGGGGGAAGAGAGGGGGGAGAGTGAGCAGTGCAGGAGGTGAGGATGGGGTGGAATGGAAAGGAGATGGGAATGAAGCGTCGGAACGACGGTAGGTGCAGAAGGCAGCCCACCCGCCCCCCTCACCCGCCCCCCTCACCCGCCCCCCTCACCCGCCCCCCTCACCCGCCCCCCTCACCCGCCCCCCTCACCCGCCCCCCTCACCCGCCCCCCTCACCCGCCCCCCTCACCCGCCCCCCTCACCCGCCCCCCTCACCCGCCCCCCTCACCCGCCCCCCTCACCCGCCCCCCTCACCCGCCCCCCTCACCCGCCCCCCTCACCCGCCCCCCTCACCCGCCCCCCTCACCCGCCCCCCTCAGCCGCCCCCCTCACCCGCCCCCCTCAGCCGCCCCCCTCACCCGTCCCCCTCAGCCGCCCCCCTCAGCCGCCCCTCTCACCCACCCCCGTCACCCGCCCCTCTCACCCGCCCCCCTCACCCGCCCCCCTCACCCGCCCCCCTCAGCCGCCCCCCTCAGCCGCCCCCTTCAGCCGCCCCCCTCAGCCGCCCCCCTCAGCCGCCCCCCTCAGCCGCCCCCCTCAGCCGCCCCCCTCACCCGTCCCCCTCAGCCGCCCCCCTCAGCCGCCCCTCTCACCCACCCCCGTCACCCGCCCCCCTCACCCGCCCCCCTCAGCCGCCCCCCTCAGCCGCCCCCCTCAGCCGCCCCCCTCAGCCGCCCCCCTCACCCGCCCCCCTCAGCCGCCCCCCTCAGCCGCCCCCCTCACCCGCCCCCCTCAGCCGCCCCCCTCACCCGTCCCCCTCACCCGCCCCTCTCACCTGTGCCTGCTGCAGCGTGGTTGTCACTCCTGCCAGCATCTGAGGCGTTATGCCGGAGAACCTGATACACAGGAGGGCGAGATGGGGGGAGGGCGGGAAGGGAGGAGGGAAGGAAGAGGGGAGAGAGGGAAAGGGGGAGGGAGGGAGGGAGGGAGGGAGGGAGGGAGGGAGGGAGGGAGGGAGGGAGGGGAGGGGAGGAGGGAGGGAGGGAGGGAGGAGGAGGGAGGGAGGGAGGGAGGGAGGGAGGGAGGGAGGGAGGGAGGGAGGGAGGGAGGGAGGGAGGGAGGGAGGGAGGGAGGGAGGGAGGCAGGCAGGGAGGGAGGGAGGGAGGGAGGGAGGGAGGGAGGGAGGGAGGGAGGGAGGGAGGGAGGGAGGGGGGAGGGAGGGAGGGAGGGAGGGAGGGAGGCAGGGAGGGAGGGAGGGAGGCAGGGAGGGAGGGAGGGAGGGAGGGAGGGAGGCAGGCAGGCAGGGAGGGAGGGAGGGAGGGAGGGAGGGAGGGAGGGAGGGAGGGAGGGAGGGAGGGAGGGAGGGAGGGAGGGAGGGAGGGAGGGAGGGAGGGAGGGAGGGAGGGAGGGAGGGAGGGAGGGAGGGAGGGAGGGAGGCAGGGAGGGAGGGAGGGAGGCAGGGAGGGAGGGAGGCGTTCAGGTTTCTATGGTTCTCCGTGAAAGGCTGCTAAGAAACATTGGTTATGGTTTAAAGGAGTGACACACTACAGCAGAAATCATGAAACAAAGAAAAGGAGAAAGGGCGGAAATGCATCAACAGGGGGCAAGAGGGTGGGGTGGGACGGACGGGTGGGGGTGGAAGGGGGGTGTGGTGTGGGTGGAGCAAGGGCGGAAGAAGCAACTGACACACTGGCTTTAATGATTCGACTAAAAATAATCAAATGATGCACTGTGGAGCGGAGTGGACCCTAAATGCACATGCTTGGTGCTGATAGCATTGGGTGAAGCCTGAAAGCAGTGACGGGGAGAGGGGGGGTGGCATTGGTTGGTGGGCTGCTGGGGCTGGTTGCTGCTGGTGACTCACTGCGTGTTGTAGTTGGTGATGGGGCTCTCAGGCTTCACCAACTCGTCTAATAGCACCTGGTGTGTGCAGGGCACGGGAAAAAAAGGAAGGGCGTGGTTGGGTGGCTGGGTGGGTGGGTGAGTGGGGCCCGCGCACTGCGTGTTGTAGTTGGTGATGGGGCTCTCAGGCTTCACCAGCTCGTCTAATAGCACCTGGTGTGTGCAGGGCACGGGAAGAGGGAAGGGCGTGGGTGGGTGGCTGGGTGGGTGGGTGAGTGGGGCCCGCGCACTGCGTGTTGTAGTTGGTGATGGGGCTCTCAGGCTTCACCAGCTCGTCTAATAGCACCTGGTGTGTGCAGGGCACGGGAAGAGGGAAGGGCGTGGGTGGGTGGCTAGGTGGGTGGGTGAGTGGGGCCCGCGCACTGCGTGTTGTAGTTGGTGATGGGGCTCTCAGGCTTCACCAGCTCGTCTAATAGCACCTGGTGTGTGCAGGGCACGGGAAGAGGGAAGGGCGTGGGTGGGTGGCTGGGTGGGTGGGTGAGTGGGGCCCGCGCACTGCGTGTTGTAGTTGGTGATTGGGCTCTCAGGCTTCACCAGCTCGTCTAATAGCACCTGGTGTGTGCAGGGCACGGGAAGAGGGAAGGGCGTGGGTGGGTGGCTGGGTGGGTGGGTGAGTGGGGCCCGCGCACTGCGTGTTGGAGTTGGTGATGGGGCTCTCAGGCTTCACCAGCTCGTCTAATAGCACCTGGTGTGTGCAGGGCATGGATCATGCAGGGAGGGCACGGGACAAGGGGAGGGCACGGGACAAGGGGAGGGCACGGGACAAGGGGAGGGCATGGGTCATGCAGGGAGGGCACGGGACAAGGGGAGGGCACGGGACAAGGGGAGGGCACGGGACAAGGGGGGGGCACGGGACAAGGGGAGGGCATGGGACAAGGGGAGGGCATGGGACAAGGGGAGGGCATGGGACAAGGGGAGGGCATGGGACAAGGGGAGGGCATGGGACAAGGGGAGGGCACGGGACAAGGGGAGGGCACGGGACAAGGGGAGGGCACGGGACAAGGGGAGGGCACGGGACAAGGGGAGGGCATGGGACAAGGGGAGGGCATGGGACAAGGGGAGGGCACGGGACAAGGGGAGGGCACGGGACAAGGGGAGGGCACGGGACAAGGGGAGGGCATGGGACAAGGGCAGGGAACGGGACAAGGGAAGGGCAAGCGGAAAGTGAGGATGAACTGTGGGCCATGCGAGGCAAGGCAGGATGGTTTGTGGGCCATACCTGCCCTCACCTGTCTCTACCTGCCCTCACCTGTCTCTACCTGCCCTCACCTGTCTCTACCTGCCCTCACCTGTCTCTACCTGCCCTCTCCTGTCTCTACCTGCCCTCTCCTGTCTCTACCTGCCCTCACCTGTCCCTACCTGTCCCCACCTGATCGTACCTTGCCATGAGCATCCAGCAGAGTGAGGCGAGTGAGCTTTGAGGCGCCTCGTGAATGCACTATTGCCCTTACCTGAACAAACCTGCCCTCACCTCTTCCAGCCTGCCCTCACCTGTTCCTTCCTGCCCTCAGCAAACCTATTCTCACCTGGCCAAACCTATCCTCACCTGGTCAAACCTATCCTCACCTGGTCAAACCTATCCTCACCTGGTCAAACCTATCCTCACCTGGTCAAACCTATCCTCACCTGGCCAAACCTATCCTCACCTGGTCAAACCTATCCTCACCTGGCCAAACCTATCCTCACCTGGTCAAACCTATCCTCACCTGGTCAAACCTATCCGCACCTGGTCAAACCTATCCTCACCTGTTCCTGCCTGCCCTCACCTCAGCAAACCTGCCCTCACCTGGTCAAACCTATTCTCACCTGGTCAAACCTATCCTCACCTGGTCGTACCTTGCCGTGAGCATCCAGCAGCGTGAGGCGGGTGAGCTCCAGACCCTTGTGGGTGTTGCACTGGCCGGGACCGAACAAAGGGGGAGGGCAGAGAGGAAGGGTGAAAAAGCAGAGAGCACATGGAGAGGGTGAAGAAAAAAATAAACGAAAACGGGGGAGGGTGAAAAAGACAAAAACAAGAGCGGATGCGGAAGGATGAAAACAGATGGGGGGGAGTGAAGAAAAAAAGGGCAGATGCGGAAAGATGAATAAAAAATAATGTACTAGATATGCAATGCATGTGCAACACATATGCAACACCACACTCAACCCCGTCTGCATGCTCCCCTCTCTGACCCCCTCCTCCTGCCTTCCCCACCCATTGTCTGCATCCTACCCTCCATCGCACTCATCATCTCACAGTCAACAGCCACCAGTCGATGGTACTCCCTCTGCCGCTCCTTGCCTGCTCTCCTCTCTCCCCTGCCTGCCTCGCGCCCTCTTCCCTCTGCATCCTACCCTCCATGGCACTCACCATTTCACAGTCAACAGCAACCAAGCGATGATACCCCCTCGGCCGCTCCTTGCCTGTCCCCTCTTCCTGCTTCCCTCTCCTCTTCACCTCACCCCATGGTCGCGTCATAACATACCCTGCATGCACGCATGCAGCGCACAGGTCAGCACACAGTACAGCACACAGTACAGCACACATCCTGCATGGTCAGCGCACACACTTGCTGAATTAAACCCTGCGGCGCACAGCACAGCACCATGAGCGAGTGGCAGAGCCCATGACCCCATGGTTGTGTCATCGCATTCCCTGCAATGCAGGGCCTGCATACATGCATGCATGCAGTGCACAGGTCAGCACACATTCTGAATGGTCAGTGCACACATAAGCCCTGCCTCACATACTTCTTGACCATGCTCACGCCCCTGCAGCCTTGTCATGTGGACGTGTCGAAATGAGACGATTTAAGGCAGCCCAGACATTACATGGTGCTGACTCAGAGGTAAAACAAACTGACCTGGATTGATTGGAATGTAACCTGGAACCATTAGAATCTGACATGGATTTACTGGGACCTGACCTGGGCTCGTTGAGACGTGACCTGGAAAGATTGCAATCTGACCTGGAAAGATTGCAATCTGACCTGGAATGATTGCAATCTGACCTGGAATGATTGCAATCTGACCTGGAATGATTGCAATCTGACCTGGAATGATTGCAATCTGACCTGGAGGGGGAACAGCCGAGCCATCAGCAAGTGAGATGCTGCCGCCTGCTTTCCGGGCAGCCTCTTTCCCATCCTGCCCGTCTCGCCCCTTGCTGCCCGCCGTCACGGGCAGGGGAAAATTGTTCTCTTTCAGCTGGCGCCACGTCAGCAGGTAGTGCTCGGGAGGGAGAGGGGGCTTGGACTTGAAGGGGAGTGAGGAGGACGGGGAGGAGGAGGGGGAAGAGGGGGAGGATGGGGAGGAGGGGACTGGTGGCACCGGTGTGTGTGTGGTTAGCCCTTCAGCAGTACACACCCCCCTCTCTCCCTCGCTGCTTGTCTTCATTGTCTTTCTGTGTCTTCCTTCCCCCTCTTCTTCTTCTCCTTCCCCTCCCCCATCGCCCAGCACCTCTGCCTTACTCTTTTTACCACCCACCGTTTTGTGTATCCCCTCTTGGATCTCCTCCCTCTCCACCTCCCCTGCTCCCTTTCCTTCCCCTCCTTCCCCCTCACTTTCAGAATCAAATACCTCTCCCTCCTCCTCTTCCTCCTCCCCTTCCTCCTTTTCCTCCTCATCCTCATCCCCCTTATCTTTCTCACTCGTCCGCTTCTCTTCACCCCCCTGCGAACCCCTACTCGTCCCCTCCTTGCTTTCACAGCCCACACCGTTTGTCACACCTGCTTCTGCCTTGCTGTCCGCATGTGACGACGTGGCAGCTGCTGATTTGGCCGATGACGAGCTGGTGGTTTTCTGCGGGAGGCAAAGAGGTGAAAGGCAAAAGATAGTGGTCAATAAAGAGGTCAATTATGGGCGGCAAGAGTAGAATAATGGGAATACCTGACCCGACCTGAACCCGCCTCGGGTCGGCCTAGCCGAGTCAGGTCGGGTCGGGTCGGGTCAGGCTAATGCCCATGACTAGGTTGAACCCTAACCCCTCAGGCTAATGCCCATGACTAGGTTGAACCCTAACCCCTCAGGCTAATGCCCATGACTAGGTTGAACCCTAACCCCTGAACACTCTAAACCCATAGGTCAGATTTGATTCATGTCAGATTAGAATGTCTCTGGTTGTTGTTTTACAAACCGAAACAGTGGCACATGCTTCTGATGTGAGAGGGCCATGCCCAGTCCCCCCTGCCATGCCCAGTCCCCCCCCTGCCATGCCCAGTCCCCCCCTGCCATGCCCAGTCCCCCCTGCCATGCCCAGTCCCCCCTGCCATGCCCAGTCCCCCCTGCCATGCCCAGTCCCCCCTGCCATGCCCAGTCCCCCCCCGGCCATGCCCAGTCCCCCCTGCCATGCCCAGTCCCCCCTGCCATGCCCAGTCCCCCCCCTGCCATGCCCAGTCCCCCCTGCCATGCCCAGTCCCCCCCTGCCATGCCCAGTCCCCCCTGCCATGCCCAGTCCCCCCCGGCCATGCCCAGTCCCCCCTGCCATGCCCAGTCCCCCCTGCCATGCCCAGTCCCCCCCGGCCATGCCCAGTCCCCCCTGCCATGCCCAGTCCCCCCTGCCATGCCCAGTCCCCCCCCTGCCATGCCCAGTCCCCCCTGCCATGCCCAGTCCCCCCTGCCATGCCCAGTCCCCCCTGCCATGCCCAGTCCCCCCCGGCCATGCCCAGTCCCCCCCTGCCATGCCCAGTCCCCCCTGCCATGCCCAGTCCCCCCCCTGCCATGCCCAGTCCCCCCTGCCATGCCCAGTCCCCCCCGGCCATGCCCAGTCCCCCCTGCCATGCCCAGTCCCCCCCGGCCATGCCCAGTCCCCCCTGCCATGCCCAGTCCCCCCCGGCCATGCCCAGTCCCCCCCGGCCATGCCCAGTCCCCCCTGCCATGCCCAGTCCCCCCCTGCCATGCCCAGTCCCCCCCCCTGCCATGCCCAGTCCCCCCTGCCATGCCCAGTCCCCCCTGCCATGCCCAGTCCCCCCTGCCATGCCCAGTCCCCCCCGGCCATGCCCAGTCCCCCCCTGCCATGCCCAGTCCCCCCTGCCATGCCCAGTCCCCCCCCTGCCATGCCCAGTCCCCCCTGCCATGCCCAGTCCCCCCTGCCATGCCCAGTCCCCCCCGGCCATGCCCAGTCCCCCCTGCCATGCCCAGTCCCCCCTGCCATGCCCAGTCCCCCCCGGCCATGCCCAGTCCCCCCTGCCATGCCCAGTCCCCCCTGCCATGCCCAGTCCCCCCCTGCCATGCCCAGTCCCCCCCCTGCCATGCCCAGTCCCCCCTGCCATGCCCAGTCCCCCCTGCCATGCCCAGTCCCCCCCCGGCCATGCCCAGTCCCCCCTGCCATGCCCAGTCCCCCCTGCCATGCCCAGTCCCCCCCCTGCCATGCCCAGTCCCCCCTGCCATGCCCAGTCCCCCCTGCCATGCCCAGTCCCCCCTGCCATGCCCAGTCCCCCCCGGCCATGCCCAGTCCCCCCTGCCATGCCCAGTCCCCCCTGCCATGCCCAGTCCCCCCCGGCCATGCCCAGTCCCCCCTGCCATGCCCAGTCCCCCCTGCCATGCCCAGTCCCCCCTGCCATGCCCAGTCCCCCCCGGCCATGCCCAGTCCCCCCTGCCATGCCCAGTCCCCCCTGCCATGCCCAGTCCCCCCTGCCATGCCCAGTCCCCCCCGGCCATGCCCAGTCCCCACTGCCATGCCCAGTCCCCCCCCTGCCATGACTCTCACGCGCTCCTTGTTGGCCGCCCGCCTCGCCACCTCCTCTTCCGATGGCCCCTGGGGAGCCACGGGCGCCACCCACGGAAGCTGCCAGGAAACTACCGGGGCGTCTGGGGACTGGGTGGAGGAGGGGTTGAGGGGATGGAGGGAGGGAAGGGAGGGAGTATTGAGGGTTTTGGTGGCTGTTTTTGCAGGTTCTGAAGGGTGCCTTCATTTCCGTGCATGCTTGCTGTCGGCGCAAGCGTGTGATTGTGCGTGTGCATGGCGCACGTAAAGACGGGCACGTGCTGTGCATGACGGGACAGGATGGATGTCCACGGGATGGGAGAGAATTTGTTGAGGTTTAAGTAGTACAGGAGGGTTTTACTCTCTATCTTTTGCTTTAAGCCCGACTAGGTTTGCTGCTCGCTGAGAATTATGTCACAAGACCGTAACGATGGGCATGTGCGTGCGTGCTGGGACAGGATGGATGTGACATGTGCATGCATGCATGCTGTCGTTACTTAAGAGTCGTTGGAAAGACCCTCCACAGCCATTTGAGAGCCGCTCGACGAACGACCGTCCCACCCTCCACAACCATCCACAACCGTTGACAACCGCCCACAACCGTCCACAACCGTCCATAACCGCCCACAACCGTCCGGCGTTCCACCCTCCACAACCGTCCAGAACCGACCACAACCATCCCACCCTCCACAACCATCCCACCCTCCACAACTGTCCACAACCGTCGAAAACCGTCCACAACCGTCTCACCTGGTATGCCTTCAATTCCTGTGAGTAGTCAATGGACACATACACACTCCTGCACTTCATCTCCTCTGCTCTCCCATGCATAGATACCGTTAGGCGCCTTGGATTGGAATCTACCTAGTGGTTTCGCTCACCTGGAATGTCTTGAGCTCCTGCGAGTAGTCGATGGCCACATACACGCTCCTGCACTTCATCTCCTCTGCTTTCTCCCACGTTATTACAGATCTGTGGTGGCACATGTGATGTGGCATGACAGAGTGACGTGGCATGACAGAGTGACATGGCATGAGAGGTTGATGTGGCATGACAGTGTGTTTGCATACGTGTGAGTGAGTGCGTGCGTGCATGTGTGCGTGTCCGTGTGCGTGCTCACGTGCGCGTGTGTGTGTTTGTGTGTCTGTGTGTCTGTGTGCATGAGTGTGTGTGTGTGTGAAAGAATCATTTTGCCATGAAGCCGGAATCTGTGTGTCTGTGTGTCTGTGTACAAGGCCGTGTTTTGAACCTGGCACCCAATTCACTGCTGTGACCTGTCAACGATTGATGAAACACGGTGTGCGGTACGAACACAAAGCTTTGCAAAACGGTACAGAGTGGTGCACTGACTGACATGCCATGAGGATATCAGGCCTCATGGACTTCTTTCCATCACCCTAAGCAGAGGAAGAATGTAAAACAAGAGGAAAAAACAATAAAAAAGGACAAATGTCCAGGGGAGATGAAGGGAGTGTAGAGGATGGGTGGAGGAAAGGTGGGGTGAGGGAGAGGGGTGGGGGGACGGGGGAGGTGAGATAAGAAGGTGGTGAAGAGGGGGCAGAGGCTGCCTCGCCTGAGCTGTGGGCACGTACGCGTGTTGAGCGTAGAGCAGAGTGAGAAGGCGACTTTTGAGTCGACTCAAAACGAGGTGACTTTTGAGTCGACTCAAAACGAGGTGACTTTTGAGTCGACTCAAAAGAGGCTGCCTCGCCTGAGCTGTGGGAACGTACGCGTGTTGAGGGTAGAGCAGAGTGAGAAGGCGCTTCAGGTAGTCAGTGACGTGCCATCCGCCAACGGGAATTCGACACGTGGCGTCCAGCAGAGGCTGCCCTGCGATCATCTGCCTGCACATGGCGCCACGTGGCAAAGCACGATTGGTTCTTGATGGCAGCAACGAATGCGTGGTTTAGCAACCAAGAAATCATGCATGCATGCAGGCTGAGCAAGTGGTTGAGCCGGGGTCAGTAAACGTTTCACAACTCCTGCTTGTAGGTCGTTTCTGAGTACTCCCAAAAACGAGCTACATGCAGGCTGAGCATGTGGCCAAGCCGGAGTCAGTAATGTTTCACAATCCCGACTTGGCCAGGGCCAGGCCAATCCCGGTCTTTCAAGCTGTAAATGTTTTGAGTTTGCTCAAAACAACCCTGGTCTTTCAAGCTGTAAATGTTTTGAGTTTGCTCAAAACAACCCTGGTCTTTCAAGCTGTAAATGTTTTGAGTTTGCTCAAAACAAGCGCGGTCTTTCAAGCTGTAAAACCGAGTCACGAGCCACAGCAAGCTGATTATTTTTGTTGACTCAAGTATCACCACAAGCCACTGCGAGCCACTTGCCCAGTGAAACTGACTGATGCGAACTGGCCACGAACCAGAGGAGGGGTGAGGGAGCAAGTGAAAGGGGTTGAGAGAGGTGACTTTTGAGTCGACTCGACTTTTGAGTCGACTCAAAAGTCACCAGAGGAGGGGTGAGGGAGCAAGTGAAAGGGGTTGAGAGAGCGAGAGAGGGGAGGTGAGAGAGCGAGAGAGAAAGGTTGACAGAACAAGAGAGAGCGGTTGAGACGGAGAGAGAGAGGGAATAGAGAGAAGGGGGGGGGAGAAAGTGAGAGAGAGGAGGTGAGAGGGCGAGATAGAAGGGGTGAGAGAGCGAGTGAGGGGGGGTGAGCGAGGGAAAGAGGGAGTGCAGGAGAGAGAGAAAGACGGGGTGAGAGAGCGGCGCGAGAAAGCAGCAGGAGCGCATGCACAGGCATGACATGGGTGGTGGAGTGGCCGCAGTCGACAAGCAGACCGTCCGGCACAGAGTGGTGCTGTGCGGTGTTGTGGCGATAGCTGAACACCCCATCCACTCCAAATGCTGCAAGAAGCAGGGCACCGGGATGGGATGGGGCGAGACGTGCGGTGAAGCATTGGAAACAAAGGCCTGAGGTCGATGATGTGTCGTGTCTTCAAAGGAACGAGTGTGCGGGCGGGAGGTGAGGTGCGGTGAGGTGAGGTGAGGTGAGGTGAGGCAGGCACGGTATGGTGGTGAATCGGTAATTATCAGAGGATGGAGCATGACATGACACGTGACGAGACGACACACAGATTGGAGGCACTTCTGGAGCAGATATTCTGCTCCAGAAGTGCCTCCAATCATTTCACTTTGGAATCACTTTTGAATATTCTGGAATGATTGGAATCACTTTTGAATATTCTGGAATGATTGGAATCACTTTTGAATATTCTGGAATGATTGGAATCACTTTTGAATATTCTGGAATGATTGGAATCACTTTTGAATATTCTGGAATGATTGGAATCACTTTTGAATATTCTGGAATGATTGGAATCACTTTTGAATATTCTGGAATGATTGGAATCACTTTTGAATATTCTGGAATGATTGGAATCACTTTTGAATATTCTGGAATGATTGGAATCACTTTTGAATATTCTGGAATGATTGGAATCACTTTTGAATATTCTGGAATGATTGGAATCACTTTTGAATATTTTGGAATGATTGGAATCACTTTTGAATATTCTGGAATGATTGGAATCACTTTTGAATATTCTGGAATGATTGGAATCACTTTTGAATATTCTGGAATGATTGGAATCACTTTTGAATATTCTGGAATGATTGGAATCACTTTTGAATATTCTGGAATGATTGGAATCACTTTTGAATATTCTGGAATGATTGGAATCACTTTTGAATATTCTGGAATGATTGGAATCACTTTTGAATATTCTGGAATGATTGGAATCACTTTTGAATATTCTGGAATGATTGGAATCACTTTTGAATATTCTGGAATGATTGGAATCACTTTTGAATATTCTGGAATGATTGGAATCACTTTTGAATATTCTGGAATGATTGGAATCACTTTTGAATATTCTGGAATGATTGGAATCACTTTTGAATATTCTGGAATGATTGGAATCACTTTTGAATATTCTGGAATGATTGGAATCACTTTTGAATATTCTGGAATGATTGGAATCACTTTTGAATATTTTGGAATGATTGGAATCACTTTTGAATATTCTGGAATGATTGGAATCACTTTTGAATATTCTGGAATGATTGGAATCACTTTTGAATATTCTGGAATGATTGGAATCACTTTTGAATATTCTGGAATAATTGACGCCCACACCTCCCGAGTGACATGACATGCCCTAACAGGGACCCAGCGCAGGGGTGCTACAACTGTATTGCCTTACCCAGCGCAGGGGTGCTACAACTGTATTGCCTTACCCAGCGCAGGGGTGCTACAACTGTATTGCCTTACCCAGCGCAGGGGTGCTACAACTGTATTGCCTTACCCAGCGCAGGGGTGCTACAACTGTATTGCCTTACCCAGCGCAGGGACTCCGTACGTTTCAAACATGCGCTGTGCTGTCTTGCCACGCGTGTACAGGGCCGCGCAGGGAGCCTAGATACACACCTCACCCCACCTCACCCCACCCCACCACACCACACCACTCCATGGCAGGGATGCTACACCTGTACTGCCTTACCCAGGGCAGGCACGCCGTAGGTCTCGAACATGAGCTCTGCTGTCTTGCCGCGCGTGTACAGGGGTGCGCAGGGGGCCTCAGTCAATAACACAGGGTGGTTTACCCTGCCGCCGCCTTCCACCCCCAGTCTATCAAACGCGTAATCAAAGATCTGAGAAGTACGGCGCGAAAAATCATGGCGGAAAGGGAGGAGAGGGAGGGGGAGGCGGGGGGGGGGGGGGGGGGGGGGGGGTGGGGGGAATGGGCAGGGAAGCAACAGGAGAGGGAGGAAGATGATGGGTTTTGAGGCGCCTCAAAACGAGCACATGAAAGAGATTGTAAACGAGAGTGTAGTGTAATGGAGTGGAGGGGGAAAGAAAGCCAGGAAATGAGGAAGAAACGGGAAGCCAGGCTGAGTAGCCTTCCTTAGGCAGAACAAGTGAGGGAGGGTGGCAGCGAGAGGCATGCATAGGCATTCTGAGGTGCCTCAAAAGGTTTTAGAGGGGCCTACATACGCATTCCATGAGCTCAAAGTTATAGATGACGTTGGACTCAAAGGGCTAGCGAGGGGTGGGGAGGATAGGAAGAGCAGCGAGGCAGCAAGAAGAAGCAGCAAGCACGAGGCATACATGCGCAGTCTGAGACGCCCCAAAATCCATACGCACACATTCCATGCGCTCAAAGTTATAGATGACGTTGGACTCAAAGGGCGAGCGAGGGGTGGGGAGGATAGGGAGGGTGGGGGGACATACGCATTCCATGAGCTCAAGTGGGTGGGGGGACATACGCATTCCATGAGCTCGAAGTTATAGATGACGTTGGACTCAAAGGGCGATCGGATGCTCTGCCGCCCAAACTCCAGCGCCCTCAGCGCCGGCCAGGCGGGGTCCCAATCACCCACCACCGTCACCTGCGAGCCTGGCGGTGTGGGGGGGTGCGGTGACGGATGGATGGGTGGGTAGGGCCCAGTGAATGGTGAGAGGATGGGATGAAGGGCAGGGATTACAGTGGTTGTCACTATCAACTCCAGCGCCCTCAGCACTGGCCACGCGGGGTCCCAGTCACCCACCACCGTCACTTGCGAACTTGGGATGGTGGGGTGTGGTGGGGTGTGGTGGGGTGATGTGGGGTGAGGGGTCACCTTTTAATACTGTTGTAAAGTGATGTGAAATGATGGGGGTGGGGGGTAGATAGACGAGCATGGGCGGCAAAGCACAGCCTCTCATTTCTCCCCCTCTCCCCCTCTCCCGCCCCTCCATCCTCACCCCCCTTCTCCCCCCGTCTCCCCCGTTCCACCCTCACCCTTTTTCTCCCCCCTACCCCCTCCTCTTCCCACCCCCACCGCTCACCCCAGTCCTCCCCGCTCACCCCCGCTCACCCCAGTCCTCCCCGCTCACCCCCACTCACCCCCGCTCCTAGGCCGCGGACGCCCCACCACGCTCCTGAAGTCCACCCGCGGATCCGCCTCCCCGCCCCACCTGCGCGCATGGCAAGGCACACGCGGGGGGGAGTCCGCGGGGGGAAGGGGGAAAGGGGAGGGAGGAGGGGGGAGGGAGAGGGGAGGCGGGCGGGGGGGATGGGGAGAGGAGAAACGGGGTGAGGAGGAAATGAAGAGAGGAATGACGAGCAGGTACGGAGCGAGGGGGAGTGGAATCAAGGGGAGTATAGCGGAACAATGGAGGGGAAGGTGAATGGAGGAGGGGAGGGGGAGAGCGGGGGAGGGGAGAGAGGGGGCCCGGGGCCAGGGGGCGGGTGCATAGGAGGCGGATGGCAGCAGATGCCACCTGGAATTCCCAATGCTGCCATATTTATTCGACTCGTCGCGTAACCTAAGCACTCAAGGGAGTTCTGATGAGTACCGCCCATCCTAGGTAACACCTGCTCCAGAGAACGCCTACCCCGCGCCTACCCTGCGCCTACCCCGCGCAGCACCCACCCTATTCGGCAGCGGTGCGAGCCGTTGTCGATGACCACGAACGCGTCGCTTCTATCCGCGTATTTCGCGCGATAATCGCCGCACCGAGCGGGCCGCTCAAGAACCCCGCCTCCTCCCCCTTCCGTGCCTCTCCCCTCGCCGCCTCTTCCTTGTCGACCACCCCGATCGCGGAAATCGCGGTAGTCGCCTCCGCCATCCCCGCCGCCATCCCCGCCGCCATCCACGCCACCACTGCTTCTACGGCCGCGATTGGCGCCGCTCCGCTTCCCCAAATATCGGTCGGCTCCCCATTCGCCGAACTGCAGCACCACGGACGAGGCGCCGAGGGGTTGCGATCTGTCAGCGGCGTCGGAAGGCGTCGAAGCGCGAGTAGGTATTGGAGTCATACGGACCGTTTTTTGGCACGACTCAAAGCACGGGACTCATAAGAACGTGGCTGGAATCGTCTTTTCAACTTTGAAGGTCATCCAGAGTGGGACGTGTTTTATGGGAACGGGACACGTTCGTCCGAATACGGCTCAGTGAGACGGTCAAATCAGTATGTAGATTGGTCGGGTAGGGTTCGACGTGTCTCTTCAGCAGCAGTAGTAAACTGGAACTGCGCTCGCGATTTCACTGCTCCGATAAGGAGCAATGCATGTTGTAGCGACCAAAAGATTTGAGGAAGAATCCTTGACGCACATGTAAAAGCTTGCTTCAAGAACTTTTGTTTATGGCTGTAGTTTTGGAACATCCATACAAATTCTTTCAGAGTTAGTGAAGCTGTTCGTCATGGATGTACTACACGGATAGCGAAGCTGTTCGTAAGGACAGGCACTCTTGCACACACGAAAGGTCAAGCGCCTTGGGACCAATCGAAGGGCTGTCTCTTTTGAAAGCCAAAGAACAAGATTCGATCATTCGACAAAGAAAATACACGCAATGCTCCTTTGACGAACATCATCACAAATGTCTTCAACAAGTATGCTCGCTCTTTTTGCTTTATTTTAGGGTACGGCCCGCGCGGTTCTGTGTGCTCAATCACATCGCTTAGAACACTAGAGACGAAACAGCTGTAGACTGAAAATATGGACAGATTCATTTGCAGATATGACTCAAACACAACATAGGATGTCCTTCAGACAAACGCATTACATTATTTAGGACGTGGCTACTGTACGAGACTCACACATGCTCGTATACAGTCATGGTAGTGAGAAGCTTGCCAGCACAAGAAGAAAGTTTGGGCACGATACAGTCATGTGACAATTAAATGTTACATGTGATTATATATGTTTCAATGTGTACACTAGTGGTGGTTCTCAAGCATTCAAGCCATGACTTGTTCCCCTTGGTGTTGGCAGTTGAATTTCCTTGACAGGCTGAAAAATGTGAATGATTGGCTCCATCAACTAGGGCGGTCAAAGTGCAAAAGACACAATGGATTGAGCTAGTGCTTAAGAGAGTGGTACACCTAACGTGGGTTTAGCAACGATCCTACGGAACAGTTGGAGATCGTAAGAGATGTTGGCGATCCTACAGAACAGTGTGCTACCTACTTCTGTCCAGTAATGATTTTGATGATTGTGATTGGCTAGCACTGATAACAATTGTCACTGTGTAGGACACTGTTGCGTAAGATCGCAACACTGTTCGTAAGATCGCAACTGTTCCGTAGGATCGTCGCTAAAACCCTAGCAGGTGTTCCACGCCCTTAAATATGTGAGCCGGTTCTTCATGTGGGATTTCGCGGTACCGTGTACTGTACTTCTATCTCTATTGCACAGAGTACATGACCCCCGTAAAATCTGAAGTTCGTCCTGGTATCGATTGGGTTTTTTTGGCTTGAAATATTTGAAGAAATCCGTTTCTACTGTGGTGTGGGACAAGTTCACGTGCAGCCAAATTTAATGCAATGCCCGCGTGTCCACTCGTTGCTAGCCGCCATTCAAATCCACCAACCACGCCCTCACACGCTCCATCTCTTGTCTTTCCTGGCGGTGTGTCCTGGGCCGCGATGCACACTCCTCTTGAAACGAAGAATGTGTCTGCCCGAACAGTTCCGAGACACCAGCCCAACTGCCTAGAGTCTCTTGTCTTCACCCGTGTCCATAAGAAATCATAGCTGGCATGGTTCTGATTGGGCCCGGCGACGCCAGCCACTTGTTCCCATATCAACACCAAGGCAATCCGCTTCGATTCTAGGAGCAGCAAAGGGCTCCGCATAGTATGACCGCGAGTTGGCGCAAATCCCTTGCCTGGTGCGGACGCAACCCATGATCCACCCACCCACCACCACCCATCAACTGCATTGCACTGCACATTGTGAAAGGTATTCCCCCAAAGGTCATTCCCCCACCGCGCAAGTCTATCCGCCTCACCCGCCGGGCTTCCTCCCCCCCCCTCGGCTCCCCCATCCATCCATCTCACTCACTCACTTGCCTTGCCCCCCTCCTCTCCCTCTTCCTCCCTCTTTCAAGCCAACACATCCAGTTTTGCCAGCTCCTCACCGCTTCGTCCTCTTGAAGATCTCGCTTGGTCTGAATCAGTTTGTTTGTTACCGTTCCAAGTTTTCTCAGCAAGCTTGGTTGTCCAGTTTCGTTTTACGCCTTTTCACCCAAGGGTTTGTCAGATTGGAGCAGCTCAAGTTGAACTGCGCACACTTAATTGCTTAGCCTTACGCACGCCGCTGGGTATTCCTCATAATCATGGTCGACCTCGTAAGCCGTTTTCAGAGTGACCTTGGCGCGGCGGGTCCGTGCTTAACTCTCGGGCCACCCGGGCGCTGGCTCGAGCCGCAGTCCCATGTTACGGAATTAGAACTCGGCAAACGCAAGGCTCGAGAAGTGCCGTCGCCGTCGAAATCTCGACCTCAGGAAACAACATCGTCGGACGAGTGAGTCGCGTGAGCGGCAAATTGTGGTCGAGACTCTATCGATCCATTCTGAGGTTCCTCCGTTAGCCCTAACGTCGGACTAACAAAGTTGAACTTTGCTTGTGCGCAGTGTGAGACTTTTGAGTCCGATGATCAAGAGCCCAGACTCTTCGAGACCTGCTCGGAAAAGGTGACTTTTCGAGACTTATATAGTTCTGTGCTTTAGGGTTGCGAATTTAAAGGGACGCGGCTGTGAAATGATTGCTTACTACGACTCGGAGTGCGTGTCATGTTTGTTCACAGGTCGCGTGATGATCTGGAGGAAGCGGGGCTCAGCAAAGCACAACGAGAAAAACTGCGTCGCGACCGACTTAATGACAGGTACAAGGCGTGACGCGCGTGACGCTCGGATTTTCTCAGCAACTTCTAGCACTTGCGTCGCGCCTTGACGTCCATTGATTATCCCTCGGTTCTGTATCATCAACATATGTTTTCTGATTTTTATATATATATATTTTTTTTTTCCTTATTTTCCCTCCTTTCAGGTTTCTTGAGCTGGGCCGCGAGCTGGATCCAACTACGACTCCGCGGACGGACAAGGGCATAATTCTCAACAACGCCGTTCGTGTGCTGACTGGCCTCAAGGCGGAGGCTGCTGCTCTCAAGCAAGGCACGTGGCAGCTCCAGGAGCAGATCAAGGAGCTGAAGGTGAAAAAAAAAAAACAGAATGAGGATGCTTTTGTCTGTTTGTTTGTTTGATTGTTTTTTCCTTCTGAATTTCCGTTGCCATCTGTTCTGCACATATCTCATACAACCATCTTTATTATGTCTTTTCTCAGGCTGAGAAGTCGGAACTTCGGGACGAGAAGGCCCGCCTCAAGGCACAGCGAGAGTGCCTTCAATTGCAACTTCAAGCGTTGCCACTTCCAACGCCAGATCGATTTTCGTCCCCAGCTGCTGCTGCTGCTGCAGCCGCCGCAGCCCTCGCTGCACTTCAGGCTGCGGCAGCTGGGCCCATGTCCAACCATTTCGCTGTGAAGCCTCCAGCGTCCATACCTGCTGATGCAGCACAAGGTGCTCCTGGTTCTGCATGGCAATGGCTTCAGTCGGCGTCTGGGGATGTTAAGAGAGACCAGATCCTTAGGGCTCCAGTGGCATAACTGTACTGGCTCACCTTTTTCCATCCCCTAAGTTGTGGGATGGTTGCTTAGCCTTGGAAGGCATGGCAAGGCGTTTATAGTTCTGTATAGTGGTTCTTCTTGGGGTGTGGGGCGGGAGGGGGGGAGGGTAGTATGCATGCATAGATTTTACATTTTATTTTGCAGGTGGGAGCGCGTTTTAGAGTACCAACCAGCTACCGGTTGAGCTTGATCCCCTTGCCTGGGGGGAGGGGGTTTGGAGGATGATTGTTGGAAATATTGTTTGTCGTCCTCTATGAAATCCACATTCGGTGTTTGTTTGCAGCTCTTTTTATGTCACACATGTTTCACTTTCTGACGCTTTGTCACAACCCTTGAAGGTGGTGTATTTGGTGGGATGACAAGGGGTGGCATAAATGGCATTGTTCTGGGAGGGTTTTGAGCAAAAAATCACCTCATATTTGAAGGTTGAGATCAGATCACTCGGAGATGAAAGAGTTTGGGGGAAGGCCAAAGGAGGTGGTCGGAGTTCCGCGGCGGAAGGAGAGAAGTGGGGGGGGGGGGGGGGGGGGGGGGGGTAGGCAAGGGGGGTTGTGGGAGAGGAGAGGAAACTTGGGGCATTCGGTCTGAAACAGCTGCCCTGCGTGCATGGGGTTTGTCTGCGCTTGTTTGGCCGCTGTGCTACAGTAAGCGCACGAGAGGAAGCCCCTGGTCAGCCCGAATTTTGCACGTGGAGCTGCTTCGAACCGTGGAAGGTGGCGATAAGGTTGGTCGAATTCATCCAATCATCGCCGTTGAGGGTTTCGCTTTCATGAGCTCCCTGGCAGGGCTGTCGATTGCTCTGGGGCCAGAACTTGGAAGGCTGAGCTGCCCCGAAATTTGCCCTTAAATTTACGTTTTGGGGGCAAACTCAACACTTGAAATCAGGGCTACAAAGTGTCATGCACTTTTGCTAGACAAGAGATCACCCTGGATTTGCACTGCCCATCCGAATTGATTCTTCACGCGCCTGGTTAAATCACTGAATGAAACCTCTTAGCGGAAAGACGCCTAACCCACTCAAAATTGTAAGGGTGAGGTACTAGGACCTCTCCAGTACTTGTGTGTGTAGCTTCACCCAGATCTAGCACTAAGTATTCACTGGCCGCCCGTTGCATTCCCACTTCCTTGTTGCGACCTAAGGCAGAATCTTGGTTCTCTTCGCGGATAGAAAACTAAAGGACTGACATTCCAAGCGGAAACCTACGGTTTGTACTAGAACCACTTAAGGTTCTGACTTCAAAAAAACCAGTTCAGGTCCTGACCTCGAGAGTTCACAGAGCATTCGAAACTGGCTCTAGGAAGAGTTATACTGCACCTGGAACTGGGATGACGGGAAATGGGGAGGGTGGGGAGAGGGGAGGGAGGTACGGCGAGGAATCAGTTCGAAGGGGAAAGGGTTAGCCCCAAGACTCATACTTGAAATCCGGGTTAGCCCCCGAGCACAGCACTTTAGGCAGACGGGCTGACCTGAAACCCAACCCTTAAATTCGGGGACCTAGGCCGAACTCAACCCTCAATGTTCAGGGCATTAAGGGCATTTGCCCTTGTAGCGACAGCCCTGCTCCCTGGACGATTTCCATGACAAGGGGCGTGGGACGCCGACGGCGTGTCCTCCTGCCTGACACGCGTGTCCCTCGCATCTAGCCCTTCTTCCAACCGCCATCGCGTGCCAGGGATGGTTGGACGACGTTCACGACGTTCGCGAACAGATGGATCACTCAAAACAGTTCCCATGAGAATCGCTCTAACCCAATCAAGATGTGAAGAGCCGCGCCGCTTTGTGGCTCTGTATTTGTTCCTCTTTTCAAGCAGGGTCCATCCACACGTCAACATCGGGATCCGCGTAAGCATCCAGTCGCCACACACGCTCCCGCAACAACGAATCCATTTTTGCGTGACTGTGGACCTGCGATCTGGAGGTATGGGGTGGGGAGAGAAGCCTCGGAAGAGACCACTGGCTGGTGCACGTGTACCAAGGACGTTCTTTCTTTGGTGGGGTGGAGAAACCACACCACGTTTTGCCCGTGGCGCAGCAGAGGTACGGTCAACTCCTGGCTTGGACGCCAAAATGGTGCTGTGGTTTCGCTTCCAAGCGACCGCGTGCGGTTCGACCACTGGTTTGTTGGCCCCGAACCACTTCACACATCAGACAGACCAAACCTTCCTCCTCCTCACCTTCATCATTAGGAATTGGGAGGAATCTAAAGCGAGTCAGGGACTTGCGATATGTATTCTGGAAACTCAACCCTTTCCTAAGAGCAATTGGCAGTTGTTGCACTTCAGTTTCCTTTCCAGGGGACATCTTTGATATTTTCTTTACGAAGCCGCCAGCCGCAGGAGCAACTTGCCTCTTTCTGAACTGAAAGTCGGTTCACCATTCACAACAGTCGTCGACTCCCGCAATGGCTTCGTCTCGTTCACTGGGACTAGAAGCAGACTGTGCGCTCTCGCTGGGTCCCATGTGGCAATCACAAGACAGGCTTGAGAGAAGGTCAGCATATACACGGACATGATCTGGTCCCGTGTTCGACCTTTTTTTTATGTCGGCCACGCTGAAAAGTGGCCCGTAGACTCTACATGACTCACTGTCATCTCTTCTGCTGCGTTATTCGTGCCCGTTGGATCTGCAGTCCAGACTCATCTGCGAGACAACACTCGAACGACGGCCTACCACCTTCTAAAAAACGGTAAGATGTTTCCCGTTGCTGCTTCGTTTATTGAGGACTCGGAACATAGTATTGGTCAGTTAGGGGTTACTCTGAAGTTATTAGCTTACTATTTGTCCTTTCGTGTCGCCTTTTTCTCGTGCAGGGCTCGAGAAGATGGTGCTAGCGAGAGAGAAATTACCTTTAGCAAAGCCACCAGGGAGAAGTTGCGACGCGATAGATTAAACGACAGGTACCGATTATCGATCCTTCCTCCAATCACTTCGCGCTCCATCTATATTCCAATCCCCGCTTCGCACGCGGCCGTCCTTCGTTCCACATCTTCACTTCCGCATTCGTCGGCGGTAGTCCATCTGCAGCGTGTTGAAAGACGTCGCATGTTTGTCTTCGCCACCCTCAGATTTCAAGAACTTGCAAGGGAGCTTGGTCCGTCGGCAACCGTCAAGGTGGATAAGGCGGTCCTCCTGACGGAAGCTGTCCGGCTGCTTGTCCGTTTGAGAGCTGAAGCCGCAAGCCTGTTGACGAGTAACCAGCAGCTTCAGGATCAAATCAAGGAGCTCAAGGTACCGGTTGTCAGTTTCATACCTTCGTGTCGCCTTCCGAATCGCACCAGTAGTTTTTGCTCACGCGAGCTTCGGTTTGCTCCTCTCTTTTTTTCTCCATGGTTTTCAATGGGGTATAACGGCTCTTTTTCTTTCCCATGTGCAGGTTGAGAAATCTGAGCTGAGAGAAGAGAAATCTCGCCTGAAAGCTGAGCGGGATCGTCTGCGGTTGCACCTCGATGAACTCACAGCTCCCACCAGGACCAACGGAATCTTAGGCCAGTCGTCAGCTACAGTTTTGCAGCCGCAAACAGCGTCGCACGCGTCATACCCCGCACACCAAACGCCTGTCAAGGTTGAAGCTGTGCGGTTGCCTCACCACCAGCACCTGACTATGTGGCAATTCCTCCCATCCGGCGTGGCTGATGCATCTGCAGATCGGTTTTTGACGCCTCCTGTGGCGTAAGAGCACCTTGCAATGTGATTTTTCGTGTCTCGGTTTGCAATAGCTGAGATGTTTGAATTGTGCATATTGTGATTGGTGTAGTTGCTGCCGTTGTGAGATTAGGACGCGGTGAAAGTGCAAAAATCGCAGAATCGTCTGCAAATATCGAGCCCCACAATCGAGTGGCCAGATCGATCGGCGAAACATGGCGACGAGGACGTTGTAACGATCGCACCTGAGAATTGACAGATCTCCCGCGATCAGTGATCAGTCTCATTCACACACTGTACAGAAATTTTGGCCAAAAAGCGTACTGTAGAATGGTTACAGTGCAGTAAATAGGGTAACCAATCTGCACATCGATCGCGAATGGCGATCTATCTTCTACTTTCACCGCATCCTTAGAACTTGGTAATGGTCCCCTTCTTTCAATAATATATTATCTTTAGTCACCATTACTGAATTTTGGAGAGAAAACAAACATGTGGATATGAAGTGAGCATAACGGGAAAGCTGGAAGCCATTGAGGGCAAGACTCATTCACCAACAATTGTACAGTTTCTGACATCTAGATTTCCCTCTAATTTTCCTTCTCTACACAAGAATCATTTAGTTGCAAATTCTTTTTTTCTACCCCACCAACTTTATGAAACAGCAGTCACAACATTGTTCTTTTCACTCCCCTGCCCTAACCGCCCTGCTGCTGCTCCAACGGCAGCACCTGCAGCACCTAACCCCTCCCCTCCATGCCCACCACCATTGCCAACTGCCAACATCCCTCCCCCAGCCCCTCCCTGCTGCAACTGCTGCTGGCCTACAGGCACTAGCGCACCATTCACATCACCACCGGGCGCACCGGCCAATGGCATCACAGCTCCGGAAGGATCAACGGCTGCGGTTGCATCTGGTGGCATGTGCGGCGGCAGCGCGTAGGGGGCAAGTCCCGAGGATGGCAGAGGGAGGGCGGTGGCAGGGTGGAGGCCTGAGGGGCCTGGGGAGTGTGAGGACGGGCCGCCTGGTGCTGCCTTGCCATTTAGCCTCTCCTGAGAGTGGGATGGATTGGGATGGAGCGAAATGGATTGGGATGAAGTAAGATGGAGTGGGATGAATGGATTGGGATGGAGTGGGATAGATTGGGATGGAGTGGGATAAATTGGGATGGGGTGGGATGGAGTGGGTTGGAGTTGGATGGAGAAGATGAGTGGATGAGTGGAGGGCATGGATGGAGTAGATGGAGTGGGTGGAGAAGCTGTATCAATGAGTGGATGGATGAGTGAAGTGGATGGGCACGGGGAGTAGCCGAGAAGAAAGAATGAAAAGCACCAGCCATTACAACAGATTAAGCAACAGCGCCACCCACCCACCTGCAGGAGCGCGTTCTGCTGCACCATCTTGTGACACTCCTCCTGCATGCGCTGTAGTGCATGCCCCCACCCAATTTGACTGCCACCCAGCCCCCACCCAATTTGACTGCCACCCAGCCCCCACCCAATTTGACTGCCACCCAGCCCCCACCCATTTTGACTGCCACCCAGCCCCCACCCTCCTGTAACACCCACCCACCCACCCACCCACCCACCTGCAGGAGGGCGTTCTGCTGCGCCATCTTGTGGCACTCCTCCTGCATGCGCTGTAGCTCCACTCGTATCGTCTGATTCTCGTCCGTCAGCGCCCGCACCCGCCCCATCAGATCCTCACACTCCGCCTGGGGGGGGGGTGGGGGAAGAAAATATACTGTAAGAGGAGAAGATATTTGTAAGAGAAGATAAAATTTTGAAGAATATTTTTGTAAGAGGAGAAGATATTTGTAATAGAAAATACTTGTAAGAGGAGAAGATATGTGTAACAGAAGATACTTGTCAGAGGAAAAGATCATTGTAAAAGGAGGAGATATTCGTAAAAGCATGCACGCACCTGCCCCATCAGACCCTCACACTCTGGCAACCTCCCAACTCTACTTTACACCTGCTTGCGCAGGTGGGTGGGACCGCCGTGCCGGCTCTCTGTTGGAGCGAGTGTTTTTTTAGAATTCTTTGAGAATTCTCAAAAAACACTCGCTGCTTGCGCAGGTGGGACCGCCGTGTCGGCTCTCTGTTGGACTGCTTCCCTCTCACCCAGCTCCCCTCCCTCTCCCTCCACCCCTCTTTCCCACCTACCACCTCCCATCCCCCCCTCGCCACGCACCTGCTTGCGCAGCCGCGACCGCCGTGCCGACTCTCGGTTAGACTGCTTGCGGCGCTGCTTCTTCACCTCACGGTCGTCCTGTGAGCACACGCGGAGATTAAAGGAATGAATATATATATATATATATATATATATATATATAAACAGGCATCTCTGTCACAGCGCTCCTTCTTCAGCTCACGGTAGACCTGTCCTGCTCACGGTTTAACGGATACATTCTTCTAATAGATATATTGCTTCTTCATCTGACATGCCAACGACGAATGAGAATAAAAAAATGCAATAAGGTAAAAGGGACTGGGAGCGAGCAAGGGAAACGATATTCAGAGTGAGAGAAAGGAAAAAGGGACTCGGATCGAGACAGGAAAAAGCGATTTGAATCGAGACAGGAAAAAGAAATTCGGAGGGAGGGGAAAGAAATTCAGAGAGAGGGAGGGGAAAGGAGACTCACATAGTGCACCCAACAGTCTGACAACATTCCCATCCCTCCTCCTCCCACCACTTCGGACTCGACTAAAGAATCGGCTCATTATACGCAGATTAATTATTGAAAAATAATCTGTTGCTTGGCACGGGAAAGGAAACTCACGGAGTGCACCCATAGGTCTGATGACATTCCCATCCCTCCCCCTCCTCTCACCACCGCACTCCGCTTCTTCCCTCCCCCTGCTCCCCCTGCGCCCCCCCCACCACCACCACCACTACTGCCACCAGCAGCAGCACCCATTCCCCCGCCAACCATCCCCCCAGCCCCCCCTGCTCCCCCCGCCGCCCCCCCGCCCGCCCCCACTCCGGGAATCCCCCCCATTCCGCCTGCCATGCCCACTCCCTGCCCCCCCGGCCCCATCTGCCCTGCTGCTGCTGCTGCAGCTGCTGCTGCTTGGTGCATTTGTGCCTGAGCCTGGGCCTGGGCCTGGGCTTGCGCGGACCAGTAGTCTATGGGTACCATTCCCCCCATTTCCCCCCCTTCCCCTGCCTTTCCGCCAGCGCCCCCTCCTTCCTGCAGCCGGGGGAAAGGCCATGGGGGGAAGAAAGGGAGGAGAGGAGAGCAGAAGAGGAAGGAGAAGGAAGGGTAGAGAACAAGGGATTAGAAAGTAGAGTTATTGTTGCACATGGGGCCTTGATGCATCCGAGCCTGGGCCTGGGCCTGAGCTTGGGCCTGGGCTTGGGCTTGCGCACACCAGTAGTCTATGGGAACCATTCCCCCCATCTCCCCCCCTTCTCCTGCCTTTCCGCCAGCACCCCCTCCTTCCTGCAAAAGCGGAGGTATCGTGGGGAAGAAGGGGAGAGGCGGAGAGGGGAAGGGGAGAAGCGGAGAGGGGAAGGGGAGAAGCGGAGAGGGGAAGGGGAGGAGCGGAGAGGGGAAGGGGAGAAGCGGAGAGGGGAAGGGGAGAAGCGGAGAGGGGAAGGGGAGGAGCGGAGAGGGGAAGGGGAGAAGCGGAGAGGGGAAGGGGAGAAGCGGAGAGGGGAAGGGAGCGGAGAGGGGAAGGGGAAGGAAGAGTAGAGAACAGCGGATAACGAAAAAGGGGTTAGTTAGCGTTGCACATGAAGCTGCTTTCGTTGGTTACTGCAGTTTGGAATGTCTCAAAACTGGAAGGGTAGAAATCAAGGAATAAGAAAAAGAGAATTAACAAAGCGCAGACAGACTTTGTTGGGTACTGCCCCTCTCCCCCCTCTCCCCCCTCTCCCCCCTCTCCCCCCTCTCCCCCCTCTTCCTCCCCTTTTGCATGATCACGTGGCATGATCATGTCATCACCGATTCACCAAACAAGCGGCAAACACGCACCTCGTTATGGTCTGTGCCCTCGTCCTCCTCCGAATCATCCTCCCCTCCACTGCAACACCACCATGCATCAGGGATTGGTGAACCAAACATCGAAGAAACAAGAGGGGCAACAGGTGTTATTTGTTGAGAAAACAGGGACTGGTGGTGGAGCAGGAATAGGTGGAATAGGTGTTAACAAAAGGAAGAGAGAATTGATGGAAGTGGGATGGGAATGGGGTGAGTGAGTGTGTTTATGGGCGGGCGAGAGCGAGAGGAAGGCTGAGCGGGTGAGTGAGATTGAATGGGTGGGTGACAACGTGTACAGTAAAATAAGCGCAACCAAACACCTAGTCTAACCAATTCCCCTTGTCACACCTCTTAGAGACGAACATGCATGCATACAAACACACATAAACACAGAAAGACACAGTCCCACACAGACAGCCCCTCCCCCCTCCCGCCCCCCATCCCCTCCCTTTTTCCTACATACACACACACGCATGCATGCACGTACACCCACGCCCCCACCCTTCCACCCATCCACACCCCTCCCAACCCCCGCACACACCTGGTGGAGAACACGCCATTCCCTGACTGCAGCTTTGACCCCTCTGACGTCATCCCGCCCCCTGGTCCCATCCCCCCTCCGCCTCCGCCTCCCCCTCCCCCTCCCCCTCCCCCTGCGCCCATAGCCCCCCCTTCCCCAGCCTTCGCCCCCCCTCCATCTTCCCCCATTCCCCCGCCACCCCCTCCCCCTGCGCCTGCTGCTGCCGCCGCCCCTCCCCCATCTCTCTGCTCTGCATGCATTCCCACTGGCGCCATGCCTGGCGCCATGGCCTGGCGGAGGGGGAAAGGGGACGATTGCGGAGAAAGAGGGGAAATGGGGGAAAACGGGGGGGGAAGGGGAGAGGGGGATGGGAAGGCGGACACAATAAATAAGCGTGTCACTCGCCCCCATCCCTCTGCTCCGCGTGCATTGCCACTGGCGGCATGCCTGGGGAGGGGAGAAAGGGGACAATTGGGGAGAGGGAAGGGAGGGAGGGGGGAGGGGAAAAGGAAGGCGGGCAAAAGAATGAAGGCGCGCCACTGGCGGCATCCTTGGCGCCATGGCTTCAAGACGGGTCACGGGGGAAAGGGGACGATTGGGAAGGAAGAGAGGGGAGGGAAGGGGGAGCGAGGGGGGAGGGAGAAGGAAAGGCGGGCACACTTAAAGAAGCGCGTCACTGGCCCCTCTCTCTCTGCTCCGCGTGCATTGCCACTGGCGGCATGCCTGGTGCCATGGCCTGGGGAGGGGGAATCAGGGAGGAGGGGGGGAGGAGAGGGGAACATAAGAGGGGGAGCACAGGATTCGTGTCACAGTGACAGAACAATGAAAGCGATGGTTACATGCAGATCGGGTTACCACACATGCTGATAGAGATACCAGTAACCAAGTAGGTTCGACTCCATAGCTGTTACACTCCACACCTGTACTTGTCCATACATGCTACACTCCATAATCGTTACAACTTACACTCCACACATGTTACACTTCATAATTGTTACACTACAGACACGTTACACTTGCACATGTCACACCCCAGAATTGTTACACTCCATACACATGGCATGAATGACATACATACCGAGGAAGCGTCCATTGATGCTGCGGTCGCTGATGGCATGCCATACCCCATATAAGGCTGCGCGCCCTGCTTTTAACGGGATACAAGGGGCAAAGGCATGGAACAGGAATGATAAGCAGGACGATAAGACTGGGAACATGGGCAAGGAGGAAAGAGAAGCGGAGGTTAAGGGGGAGGTCGGAGCAAAAGGGGGAATGATGGTAGGGGAAAGGGGGCGAAAGAATCAAGGTAGGGAAATCAGTGAATAAGGGGGCTACATGTAACGAACCAGCTTTTACCAGAAACTTGGCAGCACACTTCTTAACAAGAACAAGGCAGCTTGTACCGTAACAGCCCTAATCAGCAAGCTACTTGTACCGAAGCTGCTCATATCGGGTACATGGCAGCTGGGGCAGCAACTCTTACCGGGTACATGGCAGCAGGGGCAGCAACTCTTACCGGGTACATGGCAGCAGGGGCAGCAACTCTTACCGGGTACATGGCAGCAGGGGCAGCAACTCTTACCGGGTACATGGCAGCAGGGGCAGCAACTCTTGCCGGGTACATGGCAGCAGGGGGGTACATGGGGGCGCCATAGGGGGGAGGCTGGCCGTAGGGCGTCATCATATGCTGCTCGTGGGGGGGAGGGGGGAGAGAAACAAGCGGAAGACAGGGAGAGCGGAGGAGAGGGAGAGGGGAGTAGAGGGAGAGGAAAGTAGTGGGAGAGGGGAGGAGAGGAGGAAAATGAGGCTGAGTTGGTGATGGGAGGCTGGCTGTAGGGCGCCATCACATGCTGCTCGGGGGGGAGGGGGGGAGAGGCGGAGGGGGAAGAAAAGGGGAGGGGGGAGGGGGGGAAGGACGGGGAAGGGGGAAGGAGAGGGGAACGGAGAGACAGGTGGAGGAGAGGGGAAGGTGAGATGTAATTGTTAAGAACCGTTATCTCATCATCATGTGCTGCTTGAGGGACAGGGATGGAGAGGAGCGAAGGGGGCGGGAAGAGAGGAGGGAGCGAGGAGACGGGAGGAGGAGAGGAGGGACGGTGAGATGTGAGGCATCATCATCATCTCATCATCATGTGCTGCTTGCGGGACAGGGGGATACAAGGGGAGCAGAGGGAGGGCGGGTGGGGGGAGGTGAGGGAGGGGGAAGACGGGTGGAGAAGGGATACAGTAGGAGGCGACGCGAGTAACGAGTCAACCTCTTATGGCCGTCAGTCCCAGCGCCGTCAGTCCCATCGCCTTCAGTCCAAGAGGGGAACAGGGGTGGTGGTGGGAGCGGCGGCAGAGCGCGCACCTGTCCCCACATGTAGGGGTGGTGCTGGGGAGCGGCGGCGGCGGCGGGGTAGTAGCCCGGCGGTGGCTGCCCCGCCTGGCCGTAGTATGCCTGGCGGGGATCACGGCATGGCGCACACACGCACCGGAGGCAAACACACACACGGGGACACACGCGCACGCGCACGCACACGCACACGCACACGCACACATTCGGGGACACACGCACACGCACACGCGGGACAGGGATGATGAGGACGCGAACCGAGGGGAAGGAGGCTTTGCGAATCGAGGGTGGGTTGATCAGGCAACGACACGCGCATGCCACAATTCGCCAGGCACGACTAACGGGATACCACTACGCGGTGGGACCAGCCACGAGCACAGAAGGGCATGTGCGCTACACAGAGAGGAGCGACACGCCATTCTACAACGGGTGAACCACGCATGGCCCTAGCTCAAAGAGGTACAGAGAGGTGCGACATGTTCTACTGTATGCCCTGGTTGGCAGACGAAGATACCAACTAACTAGGTGCGACAGAGAGGTGGGGCATGCTGTCTTAATATAAACCGAAAAGATGAGCCTCTAGCTGCAGGCTCGGACTGCTCTTCAAGGGTCGCTTGCTAGGTGCGGCCGTCGAGGGGCATTCGAACTAACTAGACAGAGAGGTGCGGCATGCCGTCCCGCTACAGGTGAACCAATCACAGCTTGTTGCTCAAAACGCGTCGACTGCAGGGACGGGCTTCTCTACAAGGGTCGCTTGATAGGTGCGGCGAGGGGCGTCTGAAGCTGGTTACCACAACTGGCGATCGCTTGAGATGGCTGGATACGATTGGTATCATTAGTAACCTCTGGCTGGTAACGGCGGGTAGCTGTTGGTAACAGCTGGTAACTCGGTGACGGGACTGCCTACAGCTAAGGTACATGGACTCTCGCGGCGCGTTATACTAGAGGTCATCCTCATCGGATAGGAAATGGTTACATCGTGAGGTTACCCTCATCGGGGTGACCCAAATGGTTCACCTGGAAAGCCGCTGCCCAGTCAGGGTAGCCTGCCGGCATCTGTTGATCCTTGCCATACCCTTGCGCTTCCTGCGGTGACGGGATGTTCAATCGTTGTGTTACAACGCACCGCGACGGAGACTATACGAGTGTTGAAAGAACGCGACGCGGTCGAAGGGAATGAGTTGTAGACGGGAAACGGCCAAGGAGGAAGCGGAGAATTATACGAGAATGACTTGCTCGACGAAAAAGGACGTGGTATATGGGCGCGGCGAAGAAACGGCAGAAAAGGTAAAACGTCATCCAAAATAAATAGGAAAACAAACAAACAAACAAACAAAAGCAAAAACCGGCCGTAAAAGTAGCGAACGCAAAACGAGAGTTTGCGCGCGTTTGCCGCTACACCTACGTCAGTCGATCCCATAACAGGCGCTGGAGTTGACGACTTGACTTTCGACGACGCCTTTCCAATGATCAGATTCTTCCTTGGCAATAATCCTCGAGCTTCGCTTCGCAAATCCGTGACACACCAAGACTTACAACAGATCGCAGCGCGGCTCGGGTTCAGCTGCTCTTGGAAATCAGTCAGACTGGAGGTGAGGCAAGCTTGGCTGAAATCAGGAAAACGGAAGAAATTAGGGCTTACGTGTGAGAATGGTCCCAGCTGTGAGCATGGGCACGCCTTACGTGTAAGCACAAGAGAGCTTCGCTGCTGTGTCGATGGTTCAGGTGGAGGAGGCGGTTGGCGGGATTTGCGGAGGGCGCGTACTGACTGGTACTGACTGGGATTTGTGGAGGTAGGAGCGGATGACCCGCGGGGCTGACTGGGCAATACGAAGGGCAGGGGGGAAGGATTATGGGCGCATGTGGGATTGCGGGGAGGCTGACTGGGTACTTGTAGGGGAGCGGGGAGGCTGACTGGGAGGAAGAAGAGAGGAGGCGGGTATTGCGGCACACGGGCGGGCTGACTCAGCGAGGTGAAGGGGAAACGGGGAGGCTGACTGGGCTGCGGTTGGGGGAGGAGGAAGGCTGACTCAGCGACGTTGGGGAGCGCTGTTCAGTTTCGCCGGTGGGACTTTCCGCAAGTGCTCGCGAATATGGGCTGTACGCGCCAGGAAGCCATTTGGGGAAGGTGAGGGGTAAGAAACATGCATGGCGCAAAGGGGCGGTTGGCACAGGCATGTGGACGAGGTGATGAGCTGGAAGGCGCTACGCCACCTCGCCAGGTTGGAAAGAGGACACTTGACGTCTGGGCCAAGGATGGCAATGAAGGAGAAAAAATAGGAAATACACGCGCACCCAGCAACAAACTTTATCTTAGCATAATCGTCGTATAAAGTGTATACATTTCATTGGGCTAGCAGTCGATCTGAAATGAAAATTTCAGGGCTGTTTGTTGTGCTAAACTATTTTCGTGAATTGAGCGGAACCTTCTACGCGCCTCGAGCATCCAACCACCACGATCTAGCGCAACGTGGCAAAGATCGGTAGAGCATGCATGTGACTGGAAAACCGCTGAACCTAGTTGATCCCTCTAGGTCGAGGGTGCATTTCTCAATACAACGGTTGAGCCTGGGCTCTCTACTCAATTCGGCCTCTCGTCGGCCTCTCAAGCGTTGACGGAGGAGTCCTCACGCAGAATTAGACATCTTGAAAGACGACGTTGCCCTAAGTAGGGTCATGGAATCCCAAAGCGTTGCATGTCGATTTTATTCCGAATACTCCCGAGATTGCATCCCTTTAAACTCGTCTACGCGATTCGGGATAGGAAGGTTGGGTTATAAATGAGCTCTCTCCATACAACACTTCAACCGTACTAATATGCTGGATACCATAGCATCCAATAGCGTAAAAGTGCTCTGGCAATTCCTAGGCGTTTTTTTAGCCGAGCTCTAGCGTGCAATTTACAGGCAACTACGTATGTCTAGAAATCAGGTTTCAGAATAGCCAGTAGGCGGTAAAGTAACCTAGTAACTGCAAGCTAAACTTTGATGATATCTAGTTTCAGATACAATACACATAAAAGAGCTCATCCAAGTTGCAACCCATAGCACAACGTTCAGCCTTAAAACAGCTCCTCGGAGTTGAACTTGTTGAATGCCTCCTGTAGAACAAACAGAAAACAAGACAAATCCCACGTCAGTTAACAAAATCTTATGTGCAGTATCAAAATCGATGTGAAGTAGTACGCGGATAAACAGCACGTGGTAAACAGCATGTGGCATGGCATATGGCATGGCATGGCATATGGCATGGCATGGCATGGCATGGCAGGGTATGGCACGCAGCACACACCTTGAGCAGGTCGAACACCTTTTCAGCAATGTACTTCTGCTGCACTGTAGCGCCCTTCTGCTGCACCTTGTCTGGATGCACACACAGAGCTGCCTTGCGGTATGACTTCTTCACTGCTGCCGCACTGCAGGGGGGGAGGAAGGGAGAGAGGGAGGGAGGGCAGGTGGGCACACGTGATGCACACACAGGCACTGCCTTGCGGGGTATGACTTCTTCACTGCTGCTGCACTGGAAGAGGGCGAGAAGGGAGGAAGTGAGGGGAAAGGGGGGACACGACACGTGACACACAGGATGCACACACAGAGCTGCCTTGAGGTACAATTCTTCACTGCTGCCGCACTGCACAGGGGAGGGAGGAAGGGAGGGAGGGAGGGTGGATGGGAGGGTGCGCACGTGGGGGGGGGTGGTATGTGGGGGGGGAGGGTATAGCAGGCAGAGCGGCAGCAACAGCAACACCAAACCCAACATGCACTTGTACAGCACAGCTTCTTCACTGCTGCGGTACTGGGGGGGGGAGGGAACGTCGGCGGATGGGGAGATGGGAGGTACAATCAGCACACCCCATCCTCAGCACACCCCATCTCAAAAATAACCTCTCTACACGTACCTCAGTGCACCCAATCCTCAGCACACGCACAAAGCAGGAAACCCCCCACACACATGGCAGGCAACCCCCCCCCAGACATTTCAAGCCACCCCCCCATCGCAGCACTCATTCAACCTCCCCACCACGCACACGTCAAGCCGCCCACCTGATGATGTCTGTCAGCGCCACCGGCTCCCACTTGCACTCACCCCTTGCTGCCATGCCTCCAACCAGCACCACCAAACACATGCCCCGCCAGCCTCACACGCACACGTCAAGCCGCCCACCTGATGATGTCTGTCAGCGCCACCGGCTCCCACTTGCACTCACCCCTTGCTGCCATGCCTCCAACCAAAACCACCAAACACATGCTCCGCCAGCCTCACACGCACACGTCAAGCCACCCACCTGATGATGTCTGTCAGCACCACCGGCTCCCACTTGCACGCACCCCTTGCTGCCATGCTGCATACAAGCACCACCATACCCCATAGCACATGCCATTTAACATCCCCACCACGCACATCTCAAGCACCCCCACCCACCTGATGATGTCTGTGAGCGCCACCGGCTCCCACTTGCACTCCGGCCACAGCACCTGCGGGCGAGGAGGGGAGGAGGATGGAGCGAGGGAGCGAGGGAGTGAGAAAGGGAGGGAGGGAGGGAGGGAGGGAGGGAGGGAGGGAGGGAGGGAGGGAGGGAGGGAGGGAGGGAGGGAGGGAGGGAGGGAGGGAGGGAGGGAGGGAGGATGGTGGGTGGGGAAAAGGGAGGGAAGGAGGGTTAGGGTGAATGATGAGGTTCAAAGACAGGAACCCCAGGCCCAAGGCACCCACACCGTGCAGCATGCAGATCAACAAGGCACCCACACCGTGCAGCATGCAGATCAACAAGGCACTCAAAGAACAATTACAAAAACAAGTAGGGCAACTAGAAAACGCTGTACCTTTGTTCTAGTTGCCCTGATATTTGGGTACCTCACAAACAAGGCTAACACACCCAAGGCACTCACACACTGCGACGTGGACGACAGCCGTGAGGCACTCGTAGAACAAAGATACACCAACTATCGGTGCGACTTTTGGGAATTCTCAAAAGTCGCACCAACACACCAACTATCAGGGTAACTAGAAGACGCTGGCACCCAAGGCACTCAGAAACTGCAGCGTGGAAAGAAGTGAGGCACTTCTATTACAACACACCAGAAATTAGGGTAATTTACAGGCAGTAGCACCCAAGGCACACCCATCCCAAGGCACACCCATCCCAAGGCACACCCTAGGCACACACAACCCAAGGCACACCCTAGGCACACACAACCCAAGGCACACCCTAGGCACACACAACCCAAGGCACACCCTAGGCACACACAACCCAAGGCACACCCTAGGCACACACAACCCAAGGCACACCCTAGGCACACACAACCCAAGGCACACCCTAGGCACACACAACCCAAGGCACACCCTAGGCACACACAACCCAAGGCACACCCTAGGCACACACAACCCAAGGCACACCCTAGGCACACACAACCCAAGGCACTCACAAACTGCAGTGTGGAGAGGAGCGCGCGCAGATTTCCCTCCTTGCCCGCCGCCCACCGCTTGATCTCAACGTCCAACATCTCGCCGGCTTTCTGGAGGAGGGTGAAGGGGAACAGGACGGGGGGAAATGGGTTGAGGAAGTTGGGGTAAGGAGTGACAAGCCTGCTGGAATGTTTTACCACCGCTTGATCTCAATATCCAGCATCTCCCCCGCTTTCTGCAGGGAGGAAGGAGAAGAGGAGGGGAGAGGGGAAAGGGAAAGGGAAATGCTTTATCAGCGCACGCTTGATCTCATCTCAATATCCAACATCTCCCCCGCTTTCTACAGGGAGGAAGGAGGGAGGGGAGGGGGAAAGGGGGTGATGGAAAGGGGGGAGGGTGTGATTCCTACCATCGCTTGATTACAATATCCAGCATCTCCATCGCTTGATTACAATATACAGGATCTTCCTGGCTTTCTGGTGGAAGGAACGGGAGTGGGGGGGGATTGGAGGGGAGTTCTTACCACAGCTTGATCTCAACATACAGCATATCACCCGCATGGAGGAGAGAGGCGGAGGGAGGGGAGGGAGGAAGAAGAGAATTACTACCACCGCTTGATCTCGATATACAGCATCTCGGACGCTTTCTGGAGGAGATATAAGGGGGAAGAGGGGCGAGAGGAGGTGGAGCGGAAGCAGGGGAAACGGAGGGAAAGGCTGGTGGGGAAGATTCAACAGTTGATTTCTAAATCCAACGCCCGACCTGCTTTGGGGGAAATGGTAGGGAGGAAGGGGAGGGAGAAAGGTTGGATTGGACGAGGAAATGTGGACCTTCTGCTGGAGAATTTTGAAAACTCCTGAAAAATCTGGAAAAAAACTCCTGAAAAATCTGGAAAACAAACACCTGAAAAAACTGGAAAAAAAAACTCCTTAAATGTGGACCTTCTGCTGGATCCTGCTGGGGATATTTTTTACCTTTGAGACGTCTCAAAGCGCCGAGGAAATGTGGACCTTTGTAGGGTATTTCCACCACCGATACAGGGGAGACAGAGTGGTAAGGAGAAAAGTCCAACAAGAGAGGATAACAGAAAAGCAGGGACACGGAGAGAACAGGTTGACCCTTGCATCACATCACTCAATACCCCCCCCATTACCCACTACCAAGCAACCACCCAGCAGCCGCCCAGCAGCCGCCCAGCAGCCACCCAGCCAACCATTCACCCCGATTAACGTGCCGGTCCTACTGTTCCTTAAGCACGTCCGTGTTTGTTCCCACTCCCACTGCCTTCTCTCTTTCATCCAACCACTCCCCACCCACCCCTTCCCCCACACCCCCCCCCTTCCCCCACAACCCCCCCCCCTCTCCACTACTCATGCACCAGGCCTCTTGACTTTCAGCACAACCATGTCTCACTCCCACTTCCACTCCCACTCCCACTCCCACTCCCACTCCCACTCCCACTCCCACTCCCACTCCCACTCCCACTCCCACTCCCACTCCCACTCCCGCTCCCACTCCCGCTCCCACTCCCACCGCCTTCATTCATTCACCCACTCACTCACCCACACATAACCCCTCCCCACCCCCTCACCACCCCTCTCCATCCCTCTGCACTCACGTGGCGGTCCTCCTGCTCCTTGAGCACGTCCATGTCTCGCTTCTTCTTCTCATCCAGCGCTGCTGCCTGCCACGGGGCGCAAGCGGGGGAAGGGGGGGGAGGGCGGACGGGGGGAAGGGGGGAAAAGGGCAGGCGGGGGGGAGGGGGGGAGAAGGGCGGACGGGGGGAAGGGGGAAGGGGAAAGGGGTGGTACGGGTCGCACAGAAGGAAGGGGGGGCAGTAAGGAGACGGGAGGGAAGGGGGGAAAGGGCGGAAGAAGTGGAAGGGTGGAATGAGAAGAAGGGACGGTAGGTGTGGGCGAGAAGAAAGGAGGAAGCTGGACGATGCAAGGAAGAGAGCATGCGGGGCGATGAATGAGAGAGAGAGGGAAACCGTGGGGAAAGGACGGGCGGGAGGAGGGGGGAAAGGGGCGGACGAGGTGGAGGGGTGGAAGGAGAAGAAGGGACGCTAGGTGTGGGCGAGGAGAAAGGGGGAAGTCGGTCGGACGACACAAGAAAGGAAGCATGCGGGGCGATGAGAGAGAGAGAGAGGGAAACCGTGGGGAAAAGATGGGATCGTGCTGGAGGGAGGAAGGTTGTTTGGGGAGGGGGGGAGGGGGGGAGGGGGGGGGGTGATTGAACGAGATTGAGAGAGGAGGGGCGGATAGCAGAGGTCGGAAGATGAAGGAAAGGGGAGAGCGGGGAGATCTGGAGAAGGAGAGAAGGGCCCTCTGCAAACTCCTATTCCTGCGCCCCTACCTTCCCTGCGCCCCTGCCCCTTCCCTCTCTGCGCCCCTCCCCTCCAACCCCCCCCCCCCCCCCCCCCCCCGTCACTGCTCTCTCGCTACCCCCCATCTTACCGCCCCTTCCTGCGCCCATCCCTGCACCCATCCCCACTCCCAGCACCCCCCCACTCACCGCTCTCTCCTGCAGGCGTTGAAACCGCTCGTATCGCAGCTGCCGCCGCTCCTCACTCTCCCCCTCCACCTCCTGAAACTCGTCCAGCCGACTTCCCCCACCCGCCCGCGCGCCTGCTGCTGCCCCTCCGCCACCTCCTCCCCCTCCCCCGCCTCCCCCTGTGGTGCTCATGCGAAGGGGAAGAGTGAGGGTGGAACGGATGAGTTGGAGTTGGGGCAGAGGTAGGGAGAAGAGAGAGGAGGGGAGAGAATGGGTTTTGAGAATGGGAATAAAAGGGAACAAGAGAAGAGTTGGTTTTGATGGTGAGATGTGGTGAGAATAGATGCTGTGAGAACGTTGAGACGTCTCAAAAGTTGAGAACGGGAATGAAAGGGAACAAGAGAAGAGTTGGTCCTGATGGTGAGGTGGGGTGGGAATAGATGCTGTGAGAAGCAGAGGGAGAGGAGAGGAACGGAGGAAAGGGACAGAGGGAGCGGGAAAAAGGCGAAAGGAAGAGAGAGAAACGGAAATGATGAGAAGTGACGAGGGAAAGGAAGAGAGGGACATGACAAGAGGAAAAGCAAGAGAGGGCAAGGAGGAGAGGGAGGGGAGGGGGAAGTGGGGGAGGGGGATATGGGGAGGGGAGGAGAGGGGGCGGAAGAAGGAAGAACAGGACGATGGGATTGAACCAAGAATGAGAGAAACACACTGAGAATGTCAGCCCAATTGTTGGCTTTTGAGACGTCTCAAAAGAGGGAAGAACGGGACAATGGGAACGTACCAAGAATGAGAGGAGCGCACCGAGAATGTCAGCCCAGTCATCGGCTTTTGAGACGTCTCAAAAGTAACTTCTGTGAAAGAGGGAGGAACGGGACGATGGGAACGCACCGAGAATGTCGGCCCAATCATCGGCTGAAGAAGGCTGCTGCTTTGGTGGCGCTGGTTGCTGCACGTGGGTGGGTGGGGCAGGGGGAGAGGAGAGTGGGCGAGAGAGGCTTGAAGAACTGAGAAGGCACTGAGGAAATCAAAGAAAAAAACAAAAAAATATCTCATCAGATGATTGAGAGCAATGCCAGATCTCAGAGGCGAAGCTGTGTTGTACCGATCAGATGACTGATCGGAATCTGGTGCCTGCTCTGTAAGAGCAAACAGGTGCACCATCCGACCATCCACCCAGCAACTAACACCCACCCACCCCTCACACCAAACCACACCATCTAGCGACAGCAGCAGCACCACCAACTCACCGAGGGTCTGCTCTTGGCTTCTTGCGCTCGCTGCTGCTGCTGCCTTGCTGCTTCCCTCTCCTTCTCCCGCTGCTTCTCACTCTCCCTCTGCCTCTGCCTCTCCCTCTCCTTCTCCTCTCGCTCCCTCTCCTTCTCCCTCTCCCGCTCCTTCTCCCTCTCCCTCTCCCTCTCATTCTCTCTAGCCGCTCTCGCAGCATCCGCCTTCCTCTGAGCGCTTTCCATAGCATCCTTCATCGCAGCAGACGAAGCCGCCGCTGCTGACGCCGAATCCGACGGTGGAGCATACCCGCCACCTGGCACCTCCCCATTGGCCGCCGCCGCTCCCGCCCTACGCCTCCTAGGCGGCCCCCCCCTCTCCTCCTCCTCGTCCCCTCCTCCCCTCCCACCGCCACCAGCAGCAAAGTCATCAAACCCATCCAAACCACCTCCCCCTCTCTGCTCCGACTGCTGCCGTCTCCCTCCTGCTTCCTCCCCGCCCCCTCTCCCGCCTGAGCCGCGCGCGCCTGCTCCTGCTGCCCCTCCCTCTCCAGCATTCTCAAAGCTCATTTTCCTCGGCATGGGACCATCACCACCAGTACTACCACCGCCAGCAGCAGCATAAGAGGGAGCACTGGAGCGGGGGCGGCGGGGCGTGGCGGGAGGTGGGCGGGAGGGCGGAGGCGGGGTGCTGCTGGGGTTGGTTCGAAGAATAACCTCATCAACCGTAATCCACCGATCTGCACCCACTCCTGCCCCTCCCGCTCCTCCTCCTGCTCCTCCTGCTGGCCCGTCACTTCTTCTCCTCGCTCTCTCCCTCTCATCTCTCTCCCTCTGCCGTTCCCTCTCCATTTCCTTTTCCCTTTCCCTTTCCCTCTCCTTAGCCCTTTCCCCCTCCCTCTCCCTTTCCCTCGCCTCCCCACTATCCTCCCTCCTTGGCTTCCGAGCCTCCTCCCGAGGCTCTTCCCGAACCTCAGGTACGGGAACCTGCTGCACGAAAGTCTCAAAGTCACCCAGACCAATATCCGGACCTGAAGCCTGGTCTCCCAAACCGCTGCCCTGTGTCGGAACTCCCCCATCCATACCTAATCCCGAGCCTCCCGAGCCGCTTCCAGCAGTAGGCATGGCAAACGCATCAAAAGGATCGGGAACAGCAGCAGCAGCAGCAGCAGAGGCAGGGGCACCTGTACCGAATAACGGGTCGACTCCAAACGGGTCAGCAGCAGCAGAGGGCGCAGCAGAGGAGGAGGAGTGCGAGGGCATGGGCGAGGGCCCTCCCTCTTCGGGGAATAGTCCCCCAGCGGTGCTCGTGGGCTTGGCGGAACTGAGGGGGGACGGGGGGAAAGGGGGAGGGATGGAGGGAAGGGGGGAATGGGATGGGGGGAAGGGGGCAAGGGGATGCGGGGAAGGGAATGTGGGGAAGCGGTGACAGACATGGTTGCGACGAGTAACGAGGGCATGGGCGAGGGACCTCCCTCCCTCTCTCTTCAGGAAACAACCCTCCCACTAACGAGGGAGACGGGCCCACACTGGTGCTCGTGGGCTGAAGGAAAATGGAGATGTGGCGAGTCAAGGAGGGTTGGGGAAGGATCGTGAGGGATGGGGAGAGTCAGGTTGGTTAGCGGCGCACATCTTAGGAGGAGAAGGGGAGGACTTTCGGTCCCATGAGCATGCCTACCGCAGTGGACGGACAGAGAAACTGAGTGTGCGAATCCGAGTGTGCCTTTCCATTTGAACGCGCACCTAAAGCTGACCAACGCGAGAAGCGGGGGGTGGGAGACAATCTGATACGGTATGATACCAGTTGAAACATTCTAGTAGTGCGCATTGACTACCTCAACTAGCACACCGCGTCCCGAATCGTTAGCATTGTCGCGACCCTGAAATCTCGACACTTGAAAGGACGAAGCAATCTTTCCTGCTCCAGGTAAACTTGGGACCGCGATTTCAAACTTACGCCGTTCTGGGGATCAGTCGAGGAGCCACAATTGACTGTTTACAACGGACGGCCAAGATCGCCCACCTCATTCCGCGCTTGGGTATTCTTCACCCAGGTAAGAGTTTTGAGACGTCTGTAACCCAGAACTCCTACGTATTTCGCTTTTGAGGTTTCTTGAAAGCGACTTCAAACCAACTCGGACTTGTTAAGTTCACCGAATGATTCGGGCCGCGAAACACCACTGTACATCATCATGCAACACCGCGCTCCGGCTTTTCATGTCCGCGCACTTTCAGAGTTCGCCTGTTACCCTCTCCCTGCAACGTACCTGCCGAATCCAGCCAGGAAATCGCCGTCCGCGTGTAACTGTTCATGTAGCGCGAGAAATCACCGTACCTGCCGAATCCGGTCAACAAATCCTCCTCCGCGAGAGCAGCAAGCACCGAGTTGTGACACGAGCTAAGACTTGTTTCCTCCCCCCCCTCGCGTACCTCCCGAATCCGGCCAGCAGATCGAATCCGCGTGTACCTGCTCTTGAGGCGCGTAAGAAATCAACATACCTGCCGAATCCGGCCAGCAGATCGTCGTCCGCGTGAGCAGCAGGCACCGGCGACGGATCGCGCCGGTCTTTCGCGGACGACGTCGCGGACGACGACGAAGGTGGCATCTCGAACCCCTGGCTCATCAGCTCGTCAAACGCCGAAGCTGTCGCAGCCACCCCTCCGCCGCCGCCGCCGCCGCCGCCGCCAGTAGAGCCTGACGAGAGATCCTCGGTCACGGACGGCGACGATCTGCCGGAATGTCCGGATCTCGTGGGGGTTTGGCCGCGACTCGACGAGCTTGCGCCCGCGCCGCTCTTACTCCCCGCTCCGCTTCCGCCTCCGAGCCCGAAATCCGCCACTCCCAGCCCCGCGAACGCGTTGTTGGAAAGGCCGGTACCCGCGCCGCGACTCCCGCCGCTACTACCGCCACTGGCCATGCCTTTTCCAAAGGAACCCATGGCGCCGCCCATGCCGGCACTCATGCCGCTACCCATGCTGCCACTTCCCCCGCCACCCATGCCACCACCCATACCGGCAGCCGGTTTGTTCATCCCACCTCCTAGATTTCCCATGCCTCCTCCTGCTCCTCCCATTCCTCCTCCCATGCCTCCCAAATTCCCCATACCCCCCAAGTTTCCCATACCTCCCAAATTCCCCATACCTCCTAGATTTCCCATACCTCCCGCCGAACTCCCACCCATACCCCCGGCCACCCCTCGACCCATCCCTCCCCCCGTGCCTCCCCCCAATCCGGAACCCACACCGCTGCCGCCCATCTGGCCTCCCCCGATTCCTCCGCCGCCGACACCCCAGCTGGGTGCTCCGCCTCCCCCCATGCCTCCTCCCATCCCTCCCCCCATGCCTCCGCCCATGCCTCCGCCCATGCCTCCCCCTGGGGGTCGCTTCGGCACCATCGGAGTGTGCTTGCCTTGTGACTTGAGGCCCGCAGCGGCAAGCACGCTCGCGAGATCATCCATGGCTGCGTTTTTTACTCTCAAGCCTTGGCCTTGTCAATTGCTTAATTTCCGGCACGAGAAGATACTAAATTAGGTTAACGCACACGGATCCTGTAACTCGCGGGAAATGCCACTCGACAGATCCTTAGTGAAGGAAATCGCAGATTTAAGCCATCGATAGAAAGGCGTCGCAAGATAATGTTGTATTAGTGGAAATCCCTTTTCCAACTAACAGCCAGCTAAGCTTGCTCTGCGCGCGATCGCCGCTGCCTGCTGGCCTTTATGGCAGGCGCGGATCCTAGAGGAGCCAGCAGCGCAGCCGCCAGCAACAGCACACCTACCACTCTAGGTTGACTGCTGCTGTTACAATCAGGGATTGTTCGAATCTGGAAAAAGGAGGTAGGGAGTGATGATGATCCCAACCAAGGCAGCTTGGCTTGCATCCCTTCTCACTTGAGCCTGGCTGCCTCGAGCTTGGTCGGTTCACCCTGAAGAAGTGAAGAAGAAGTGGGCGTGGAACACCCTGAGAATCATTCGTCGGTTCGGACTGTCAACGCTCTGAACCGTACATAAACGTATTGAAAAACCATTAAAACACAAATGTACCGTGTACAACGTCTCTTCAAGGTTCCCACGCCAGGAGGGGCGTTTCCCTGCAGATCGGTTCTCAGCATGATAGCCACGGTTTTTCCGGTTTTATTGGGTGATTGGGTGATTTTTTTTTTGGCGGAGCCCGAAGGGGGGCACCTGCTCAAGCTTGGCGCGGTGGAAGGCAGGGGAGGGAGTGAGAATGGCAGGAAGCGGGGGCGGCGCAGGGGAGGAATATGGGGGAAATGGGTCCATGCAAAGGATGGATTTGTAGCGCCATGTGGTTTGGCGCATGCCTGACCTGCGTTGACGCCATTGGTGTGAACGTTTCGCGATGTCGAAGAGCTCCATGTTTGCTATATTCGCAAGGCTGAGTAACAATTAACAAAGCTCTTTCATTCGTGGACGACTTTGTCAGAATTCTGCCGCGCACGAATCAGTGTGGGTGGAGCCGCGGGCGCACTCCAACTCTTGACCGAACGAATACGTGTGCGACCGAAACGAGCCCCTGGTTCGTGTCGCACCCTCACCAAGTGACTGCATCCAGTTTCGCGCCAATAGTGGGGTCTTGGATTAAAATAATAAGACGATTTACTTGGAGAGTACACTCCGTGACTCCTAACGTGGGGATAATGGACCATGAATCATGATCTTCAACCTCACTAGGCACCACCACAAGCACCCCAGTCAAGCAAGAGCAGAGGGCCTACCGTAATTGATGGAGACAAGAGTATAAGTCGTCTCTCATCACATGCAAGCTAGATACATTGCACAGGATATACAGACTCCTATCCATGCATAAGTCAGAGGCAATATCAGAAGTGCACCCATCGTATAGATATTGTCAAAAGAAGTGTGTATAATCATTTTGTTACAACATCCTCAGGAGGATGCGTTCCAAAGTACAGGATCCATACGCAAACTACATCCACGAAGGATTCATCAGTTTGAGCATGCATCCGCTCTGAACGCTCCCTAACGCACCGCAAGGGTCTCCAATCTCACCACCAGCACAGAGCTCCCCGCCTGCTGAATTCCACTATCACCCGCAGCTGCTTAGCACTATCTCCTGCAGCTGTTTAGCACTTGCTCTGGAACAGAGGGCACCCGCAGGCAAAGTTGACGCTTACTTTACCACTGCGCACCACAGAGCACACAAGCAACATATGCTTCGATGAATATCAACCAGAATCTTCAGAAGCATTAAGTCCCACATTTCATGAATGGAAGAAAAAAAACTCCAAAGCTGAAGCGTCACAGCATGATGCATACTGGCATACACACTCTCACCCACCACACCACGCTTAGAGAAGATGCACTTACGCTCCATTGTGGACAGAGACAGTGTCGCCATCGCCAAACGCCCACACAATGTTGTTGTCGTTGTCAGCCTTCACCTTCACGGACGCCCCATCGCCCTTGTTCTTGGTGAACCTAGTGTGAAGAGTAGTGGAAACGGGTAGCACGTTAGGATGACGGTGACGGAGAGACAGAAACATGTAGAGAGTGGGGAAGAGAGAAGGGGGGGAGGCATAGGGGTGGGAGGTAGCTAAAAGCAGCTGCAAGGAAGCAACGTCTTCAATAACGTTCTCAAAGACACGCCCCCTTGGCTCACTTCATGATGACCTTGCTGCCCGATTGGGTGATCGAGCCTGATCCGACGGTCCACGACGCATCGTCCGCCGACGACTGTCCGACGAGATCCTTCGTCACCGGGCTGCCTGAGGAGTCAGTGGCGATGGCGTTGCTGCCCGACATGCCGCCATTGGGTGAGAAGCCCACGGCGAACCATCCACCGGCCTTGGCTCCCGATGCCACCACGGCCATCTTGATTGTCCGCCCCTTGGTGGCCTTCCAGTGCAGCACCAGCCTGGCGGGGGGAAGCGCCATGCGCGGGGAGCGGGGAATGCGCGGGGATGGGGGAATCAGCAAGGATTCTGGGCGGCGGAAACGGGTGGAATGCGGAATGAAGCGCGGGGGATAGCACAGCGAACATCTCCGCCTCCCTGCCTGCATATGTGACGGCCGCCATGCTGCTGGTCTTACTGGCAGAGGCTGTAGACCACGAGAGAAACAAATGGGGGGATGCGGGGAAGTGGATGGGGAATGCGAGGCGGATGGTGCAGCGGGGAGCAGGCAAAACCAGGGAAATCAGAGGGAATGCGGGGAAGTGGGTGGGGAATGCGGGGAAGTGGGTGGGTAATGCGGGGAAGTGGGTTGGGAATGCGGGGAAGTGGGTGGGGAATGCGGGGAAGTTGGTGGGGAATGCGGGGAAGTGGGTGGGGATTGCGTGGCGAATTTTTTCGGCGGGGTAGAAGGCAAAACCAGGGAAATCAGGGAAACCAGGAAGGACGAAAAACAACGGAGCGGGTGCAACGGCTGCGCTGTCCGCTCCTGGCTGCGGCAGTCTGCTCGTCCGCCTAGAATCGACCCCCCTTACCCGGATGTCAGACCAGCCTTCGACGTGTATCCCTTGGGGTTTGAGTTGTGAATCGACTCAAAACCCGCGCTGTCCGTTACTGAGGCCGCCATCAGCCATCTGCTCTTACCCGGATGTCAGACCAATCTTTGACGTGTATCCCTTGAGGTTCGACATTCCGCAGCTGAAGCGGCTGAAGAGCTGCCGGCGAACGTTGGTCGCGAATGACGGCGCACGAGGGCTCTGCGACGACGGTGCGACGCGCGTGGCGACGGCCTGCGACGCGAGGAGGAGCACGCAGCTGATAGCGAGCAGGGAAAGCGAGAGAGGGCGGGCCATGGATGCGGCGAGTCGAGACGATCAAACGCGACTGAAGGCGACGATAGTAGGCGACGAGAAAGTGAGGGGCGACGCGACTCGTGCACCCCAACGAAGCTCGTTGGGTTATGGCATTGGCCGCGACATGCAATGCAAAACGATGTCGCCATGACCATCAGCCAATTGCCTCGTAAACGTGGCCACGTCAGGGTTCGGGCACCTCAAGCGTGTGCTGCAGTCAACGTGGCACGACACAAGCACGCGTCACGGCAATGTCCGGACAAAATTTTGCAGTCAGTTTTCGGATGACACGAGGCGCGTCGCCTCCCTCGAAGATCGCCATACAAAAACCGATCGGGCACACCGATCGCAGGATCAGGGCAAGATCGGTAGGTGGTGACAGCTGATTTTCGATCGCCCTATCCGTTCCGAGCCCAGGTGACAGTTTCAGGATTGCAATTGGAGTTACCCTGTAATTCCACATTGCATTCTGACTATGCGATTGGGGATCGATTGTTTTTTGTCACCTAGGCCCTGTTCGGCTGGCACATCAGCATTGAGGCTTGGGGACCAGCTCAGGTTCGGGGGTGGTGCTCACATACGAGACCGTCAGGTTTGGGTTTTGTCGAAATGTCGCAAGCTCGCGGAAGGCATATATTGCCTTCACTACACCTTCGCACTGTCATTACTGCCTTGACGCTTGCTGGTTAGGGAAACTCGCACCTAAGGCAGGAATGTTGGCGTTGAAGGGTGTTCGATTTCTGAGAGCGGGCAGGTGTGTGCTAAAAAGCGCGCTGAATGTTTTTTGGCGGGCTTGACGGGGCTGCCCCGCATCAGCTGATACGCGCATGGTGCAGCCTCAAGACGGTGAACCATGCGCACATCAGTGGTGCGGCAGACTGTCAGAAGAGGATGGTTCCTGGAACGCGCATTGGGTTCCCAAAACAGGGGCAAAAAAAAATGTTTGGCAGTCATCCAGCACCAGTTCGCTTCGGCAGCCGTGCGCCAATCCCGGGCCTTGATAACCTGTCACTCACGTATCTCCTAAGTTTTGAGGGTGGTCGTTCTACTGTAGCCGATGCCCGGGCCTGTGCTTGATGAGCCAGCCGAACAGGGCCCTAGAGCCCGAGCTTGGTGCTCACGTCTGCGTTCCCAGATCGGTGCGTGCAAGTGACTACAACGATCGCACTTGGGCACACTTTACTGTACATTCGCATGTGCTCTTGAAATCTCGATGCTACAGCGGCACTGTAGCTGTCCCTCGATCGATCGAGGGCATGATCGATCGAGGGAGGGGACGCGCCCTAACCACCTCACGTTTCTCATTGCAGAGAGTCACTACACAACGGGAGTGGACTACAGAGGAAGGCACGGGGTTGTGCGAGTGATCGTAGTGTTCTACTAGCGTTCCCACTACTTCCTGTATTCACAGAGAAGTTTGGCAAGAGTTTCACCAAGGAAATTGGAAGAACATTAGATTACAATGAGGCATGCAAGTCGATATAGCTAGAATGGCATTGCAACACCTAGCAAGCCCTCTGCAGGGCGAAATCTACCAGCGCAGCAAAAAAGCGGCTTGCCAACACTGCAGCACAGTAGTCTGCCAGCGTTGCACCGCAACGGTCTCCCAGCGCTGCAGAGGCAGGTGAAATTCTGCGCATGTGCGCACCTACCAAGTAGGTGCTGGTTGCGGAGA